TTTCCAACCGGACATCGCGCGTTGGTCATAGTCCGTTTGGCGGGATTTTTGGCTTATCTCGATCGTAACGCGCAGATACGCGGAACCAAACACGCCCGAACAAGAAGCCGGCTTCTTTTTCCTACCAAAACAGTATTTTTCTCTCACAACATTTCAATCGAAACCGTGTTTTCCAGTATAAACAGTGCCTTTTCCGTACCGGCCGAACGGGGCCTACGGCCAGGTGCAGCATACTGGCCGGACAAATAGAAGAGGAATCTTAATCGTTCGTCAATGGCTGTCTTCAGAAATCTCCGTAGGGATTTGTTCGTTCCGGCCGGACAAATAGAAGAGGAATCTTAATCGTTCGTTCGTTCGCAACAGTTGGACATCTACGGCCAACAAAACTCGCTGGAAGAACTTGCAAAATACGTACTCCGTATAATCTCTCGACAACATCGCTTAGATTCAGGTCAGGTGCAGCATACAAAGATAGTACACTCCTCGTACACGTACGGGACTGCAGACGGACATTTCACCTAACCCAACAGTCCATCGCTTCACGGTTCACGCCCCCAAAGTCACAGGCTCACAAAGCACGGTCCCATTTTTCTTTCAAAAAAAAAACTCTATCATTATTCGGTCGCAGGTGTGAGGTGTCGCTGGCTAATCAGCGAACGGCGGCGGAGGCGGCGCAAGGAAAAGACGCGACGACGACGACGAGCTGTCCGGGCGTGCGTGCGTCGTGTCCGCGGCGAATTCGTCAACAAAAAATCTGGGGGATTCCCTTCCCGGTTACGCGAGAACCGCGATGCCCTTTGTTTACCAACGGTGGCGTGCTGCGCCTGCGCAGGGCGGGATGCATTTAGGTGAGTGCCGCAAGGCTTTCGGTTGGCACGTCCCTTTCGGCCATTGACTTGCCCTCCTCGCGAGCGCTTGTGGTATTGGTGTCCCATCCTAGAGAGACCAAGTGCCAGGCTTAGGTTAGGAGCTGCTGCTTGTGGATAACTGAACCGTGCATCGATTGATTGATTAGTCAGGCAGGGCGACGGATTATTAAGAAGAAAACGTAGGCGGCCGTCGCCGCTCAACTACGACTGCTGCGAACCGCAAGCGATGATGCGGGGTTCCTGAATCCTGGATGTGGCTTCCTATCCAAGAAGCCATGCGCCCATCGTGAGCCTCTGACGCATCATTTGTGTTCTTTTCTTTTGCAGCAATTATACCTGTGCGCCTGGACCGATCTAACGAATGGACATGGAATCGCCACGGGGGGCTCACCATGGTGCAGTTAACCTTGTTGGGCGGGAGTTGAGCAAACACGTCGGGGGAAAAAAATTCAGAGAACAGGTGAAAGTACAGGCGCTTCCTTCCTTTCCTGACGATGCTTCCATGTCAAAGCATGGGCGCTTCCACTCCAAGAGGAAAGAGGCCGAGGACGTGTCACGTTTCGATGCCAGACATCGGCGTCGCCGGCGTCGCCTAGCTTAGCCACTCCACTCATCGTGGCCATCGGCGTCCAACTGAAAACCCTGCGACAGCGACTATCACCATGTGGACGACGGACGGGGACGGAAGGTATGCTCGGCACCGTCCACCGCCGAGTAATCGTCGTCACAGAAGATAAACACAAGAATCTGAGCAAGAAAGCTTGTTCAGTACCCGATCGGCACTCGGCGTGCTAATCTAGAAGCAAGCACTAGGGAGACCCGTGAGTGTGTGTGGTTAATCGAGAGGCGTGTTGACCGATTAGCGGGGCACGGGCGCACGGCTGCTGGAATCATGCGACCGTACTCCAGCTCTGACCGCGGCTCAATCTTGTTCGTGTCAGAGAAGCAAATGCAGGTGCAGCGCGGCGGCGGCCCGCGAGCTGTCATGTGTGTCCTCATCAACTTGTCGCCCAAGAAGGCAGGGCCCCTCTCTCGTTCGCCTACACGAGAAGAGAAGTCGAGAGGAGGAGACCCAACTGGGCAGGGCAACTTTGGCGGGTTCATATCGTTGCTGGTTTGTAAAAAAGTACTGTTGCCTGATTTGTGTGAAAAAAAATATTATTTCGGTTAAAAATTTACGATCATTTACGATAAGCCACGGTCAAACGAATAGGCTCTGGATTCCAGCTCCAACCACCCCGCGCTCCCATCATGGGCATCGGGAAATCCGTCGCGTAATCGCGTCAGCGAGAGGATCAGCAGGAGCGTTATTTTTTGGACGAAAATGCAGGAGCGGTTGAGATGGATTCCAGCGGTCTCTACGCGTTCACAAAACATTCAAAATGGCCTCTGAATTTCAATTTTCAACTAAACATGTTGCCGGCGGGTCTGGCTGACTGGCTGTGGGCTGTGGCTGAAGACTGATGCGATATGGTCTTGTTCTTTGATCTCCCTGTGATAGCGTGATCACACGGTCAAACTCAAACCCCACTAGCACTAGCCTTTCCTGACTTATTCCAACGGCCATGGAGTCTTTCCTGCAGAGAGGTGATGAGATCATATGCCATCATAGCTTGCCTCACCCCAAATACTAGTACTAGTATTTTTTTCTTCTTCTTTTCTTTGTTGATTCCAAAGTCACAGCCGTTGGTCGGAGATGACCGAAACCGCGGCAAAACCATTTATGTTGCCAAAACGACAGTGTTCGCCAATATGCTTCTTTGATATAAAAAAAGAAGTAATGGAGTGGAAGCCATATATTGCTTAGGATATTTGTAGCATGTAGGAGTAGCAATCTGGGAAGGACAAGGGCCGGAAACCTCAGGCTGAGCTGAGCAGCCCCTGTTTTGCTGCAGCCTGCCTAGCATTAACAGTGCGCCAGTGCCCGCTAGATATTTGATGCTGGTCGCTGGAGAGATCAGAGATACAGTGGATTCTCGCTTTTCTTGTAGTGGGAATCCGGAGGGCCCGGCCCCAATGCCCAATGGTGCTGCCATGGCCAGGTAGCGAAACAGGACCACGGACCAAACAGGATTGCTTACACTGTTTGCATGCGCACCTGTACGTGAAACCATATGATGATTGCAGGCATGTTTGGATGATTTTTAGATTTAGAAAACCATGGTATTAAAAACTATGGGTTGTATAAGCCAAAGGCGTGTAAAAACATAGTTAAGAAAAAATAGGTCATAAATAAACTTTCTAGAACCCCAAGAACTACGATTTCAGATAAACCAAGTTTTAGAAACTATTTTGTCTAAAAAAGAGTGCAAATCTAGAATAGTACCAAATCAAACTATTTTAACTTTGATCAAATTTATGATGAAAATAAGCACCATTGCATTCATATGAAATGTATTTGATAATATTGATATTCTTTTTTTATAAATCTAGCGAAACTTTAGATGCTTTTACCAGGAATAGCAATTTTTTTCTAGATGGAGGTAGCACAAAGTTTATTGCATATAAACATCAAGCAGCCTTTTTAAAAAATAACATTTTGCAAAACTATAGCATTTGTCCAATACTTAAAAAAAACTTTGAACCAACTAGATCTAAACCGTGTCAAAACGTATCTACGTCCATTAGTGTCGAAAAATTATCTTAACATTCGTTAGTAAATAGAGTAAAAGAGTTGTGTTAGCACTCCTAGGTGAATGGACTGTAAAATATCACTAACGGCGATAGTAACTAAAGTTTTAAAGTAAATAATAACCTGGCTTAAAAAATAGTAAATAGTAACCCAAGTTTAAGGTCTAATCATAAAGGAGGCTAAACGACCTACGAGAAATGACACGCTCCAAAAAGCGTCATCTGTAAACTTGTGCTGTAGTAGTTTACCCTTACAATCCAGCGAAATTCTACTGTAACCATCACGAGACTACAATTTCCACGTCACGTATTGGATATCTCTATCGATGGCCACAATGAATCACAAGGAAAATGATAGTGGGTCCCACAAAAACCGGCGCCGGGTCCCACCGTGCTGGTAGTGGATAGGGCCAGCCATTCACCTCCCCACCGAGACCCCTCTTTTCTGTGTGTCATCTGAGCCCTACCTTCTGCCGTCCATCGGCTCGTTATCACCATCCGTCCGTCATCGATCTATCCACATATTGGCCCTGTTCGGCCAGTTCGGCTGGCTGGAAAAAATAGTTTATGCTTATGCTGATGTTCATGTTAATTTGTTGTGAAAAAAATATTATTATTTCATTGAAACAGGATAAGTTCAATTATTTCCCGTTATCTTTTTTTCATAATTTTTCACTCCCTATCTGAAATTTTGCGCCAGAACCTTTCTCATATGTAACATTTGGGTTCTAGATTTTAATAGATAACTCAAATTATATAAATAAACTACTGGATAATTATTCATCTATACTTTTTTCTTATAAAATATTTTTGTTAATGATTTTGTCTTAAAATAATTCAAGAATTACTAGACAAGAGTGGAAATTTGTAGACAGCAGGATAGCACCATAACTGCTCCTAATCTAAGCACCATGAATGCCCTTTTGGCCCCGTTCACGTGCTCTTAAACCCGACTTGATCCGTTTCTTTTTTTTTATCCAGAACAATGTTTTTCTCTCACAAATTTCTCCAGAATTTCTCCAAATATCTAAATTCCTCCACGACCACACCATCCGAACACCCCCATTGTGTAGTAGGCTTTTCCTCAGCCTTTGTCTCCTTCCCTCCCCAAACTTTATTCCAAAGCTTTTGCACTTCTTGTCAAGCAAACCAAGGAAACAAAGCAAAAACAACTTGCAAGTTGCCAAGACATCTCCTGCTCTCTTGTTTATATAAAACCCAAGGGACCATGGGCGGGCGCAGGACGGACAAAAGGCCCCCTTCACAGTTTCCCTCCCCAAAGCTACTTTCCCACAAACCCAAACCAAAACAGCTTGCGTCTTCCATTTCTTTTCTTGTTGGCGGCCATCTTCTTGCCTTGCTTTTGCTTGCTCGTTGCTTCTTGAGGTCGAGCCCCTCTGCGCCTTGCCCAAGTCTCTGTGTGTTTTATAGGCTCGAGAGCTTGGAATAGGGGGGTGGAGGAAAGGGAAGAGGAGGTTGGATTTGTCTTCGGAAGGAGTCATGTTTCATGGCGGCAGGCCTTTATCCCTCCGGGGGTCTCTCAAGGCCCTTGAAGCTGATATACACCATGCCAACACCCTGTATGTAATCCTCTCTTCCCTTTTAATTTGTTTTGTATTTGATACTCGCTTGATTCTTGTTGTCCTCCTCTGCTGCTTGATTTTCCAGGAAAAGATGTAGAGCAGAGAAAAAGTTTGCCTTTTTGTTTTCCCTCTTCTCCTGATTGTATTCGGTTCGTGTTCTATGCGTTTACTGATGAATATAGGTAAAAATCCTTCTCTTTTCTTCAGGGCGCACGCTATACACAGGGCGTACGGGGGTGCCTGCGTGCAGATGAGGCTCTCCTACAGCTCCATGGCTCCAATCATTCTCAACCTTATCCAATGGATGGATTGCAGCTGCTCCTTGTCATACACGCTCCCTAGTTACCTTGGACTGCTGGAGGTTCTTGTCTACAAGGTACTGATGAATTGCACTTGCCGAGAGAGTTGCTGAACTCACGAATTGGTCTCTCTCCAGAGGTTCTGAATGTTGACATGGTCTTGGTTGAACATACAGGTTTATGTTGATGAAGATGCCTCTATATCCACCATAGAAAGGAGAGCGAGCCTGAAGGAATTCTACGGTATGCTTATTATCCACCATAGAAAGTAGTAATTAAGAAGCTTTTCAGTTCAAGATTTTTCGTTGCAGTGGTTTAATATAATTTTGGGACCCTTATCCATGGAATGCAGCTATCATATACCCTTTATTGCAACAACTAGAGGGCAACTTGATGGATAAGGACTGCAAGGACAAAGGGTGGTGTAAGGAGTCTGCTGCCGGCGGTGGTCGGAAGCTTGTTGCCGATGATGACAGGGAGGATGAGTGTGGTATTTGCTTGGAGACCTGCACCAAGATGGTCCTTCCAAATTGCAACCATGCCATGTGCATCAACTGTTACCGAGACTGGTATTGCTCCTTGTTGCTCTTGCTTATCCGTTTGGGGTGTATTATGCTCATATTATTTAAGTACCAACATATCTGAGCCTGGATCATTATCATTTATCAATTAGGGCCCAATATCATACGCTACCATAAAAAAATCGCTAGCGGTTTGAATAGACTGAATGTGATATCGATTTTAAAGATAAGGTTCGAGGAAACGCGTAAGCATTGACGCAGTCTTAACTCTTGATAGCGCAAGGGTGGTTCAATAATTTTCTTAAACTTGTCCTCTGTGGGCTACTTCTACTCACTCATTGTTGGTGCCTTGGTGGGGAGTGGGGAGGGGGTGGTTCAACAACCCAGCATAGTCCTAATGCACTTTTTTTTGTTGCAATTTCATTATTTACAGCTTCCATTTAGTCAAATTCGGATGCTACATTCTCCTGAATGTTTTGGGGGGAAAAATCCATTTTAATCTTCGCTGTGGTTGTGCAGTGCAGCTTATTCTCATCACCCCTCATGTGCTGAGTTGTTTTTTTATTTGTTTTGTACGACCATGGTGGCATGGGAATCCACGTGTTTCTTATTCTAAATTTTTCAGCCTTTTGTTTGTCAACTAGGAGGGATTTTGAGGTGGTCTAATGATCATGTGCCATGTTAGGAGATTCATTCTCTTCATTCCTCCAGTTTAATGACGCATTGGCCAGAGCTTACCAAATTGTTAGAAGCCCCCACGTTTCGTCAAGAATTAGCAATGGTACATCAATGGAATTGAAAGCAGACAACCAGGAGAGTTGTAGCCTTAATAAATCATTAAATCATTATTCATTAGTGCCAACCAACTGCTAAGTTACAAACAAAAATTAAAGGGATAAAAAGGGAGGAGCACATTGACGTGGCATTCTAAATCCTAAATGATACTCTTAGCTGGCAGATCATGCTTGTGTACCAAGGATGTCATCTGCAAGTCATTGCGTTTGTGACAGGTTGTTGCTTTTAATGATACTCATTGATCGGCTGCATCACTAGAAATTTGGCAAAGTCAATAGCTTCCCCAATAACGTTGCTTCAGTTAGATTATGGATACGCTCAATGGGATTGATTATAGCAGTAGATTCTTTTGGTAACCACTGGCCCATCTATTATTGTCAGTAACTGAAAATCCTAGCAATCAGAGGGATCGGGGTAGGATTAAGCATACCGTCATTCCAGTAGATTTTAGTACTGAGCTCCATCTCAACTAGACAGACAGATGCCTCTTCCTCTGCGCTTTAACCCCATTCTGTTTCAAGCAACATAAAGCTGAACTGAATGTATCGTGACTGCAGGTATACAAGATCCAAGTCATGCCCGTTCTGCCGCGGAAGCCTGAAAAGGGTCCGGTCCAGAGACCTCTGGGTACTTACCGGCGACGACGACGTGATCGACACGGTGACCCTGGAGAAGGAGAACGTGAAGCACTTCCTCAGCTTCATCGACAGCCTGCCTCTGATCGTCCCCGACAACATGTTGCTGGTCTACTACGACTACCTAGTCTAACAAAGCTCCCCCTCAGAAGAAGCTCTGGAAGAGGAGAAGGGATCTGGGAAGAAGAAGCGGTGGTGTACAAGCGATGAAGCAAGCAAGGGTTCCGGCAGCCGACCATCCTCTGCGGATCGAGTTGGCAAAGCGAAGCCGTTGCTGACAAACAAAACTCTTGTGGTCTGCCATGCCATTGCACTGGCTTTGCATGATGGCGTCGCTCGCTGTAATAATTGTAAAAATGAAAAATGTCTCGGGTTTTACTAGCTTGGCATTTCTCGTCTGGCAAATTGCCGGACTACTCATTGTGAAGAAAACAGGGGCCTTGGTGCTTTCCATTTCCTCGGCCAGTGCCTTTTCTGCTACTCATACTGCAAAACTACGAATGTTGTGATGGACAACGCTAGATAGCTCTACGGAAATAGAATCGACCAAAGAACTGTAATGTTCGATCTGAACAAACGGAAGGAGGAATGGACATTTTCCATCACTGTTGGATGCTGATGAGAGAGCAAACGAAAGGAAGATAGATGGAGGGCGTTTCAACTATCAACTACCTTACCGGAGCTGGGATTCGGTCGGAATCGATTTGGCCATCGGTTTATTTATGATAGGACACTGAAACTGAAACTCTGGTCGGTTGAAATGTACCTGACAGCGACCACTCATTCTGTATTGTACGCTAGCACAGGTGAGCAGCCAGGGCGTGGTACCTGACAGTGACCTTTGCAAGCCTCCCGTTCAGTTGCTGAGGCCTTGTTTAGTTCGCGGTTAGGAATCATTATTTGACATCGTAGCACTTTTGTTTGTATTTGATAATTATTGTTTAATCATGATCTAACTAGGTTCAAAAGATTCGTCTCGTAATTTACAATCAAACTGTGTAATTAGTTATTTTTTATCTATATTTAATACTCTATGCATATGTCCAAAGATTTGATGTGATGAAGAGAGAGTGAAAAAACTTGGAATCTAAACAAGGCCTGAAATGAAATGGAATCCCTCCGGCCACACGCTCCCAAATACTTCCGGGGCTATGGATGGCAACGGGATGTACCCATCGGGTATCGCCGAAACCTTCTTTTCTCTGCTACAGAGAATTCATCCCGTCTCTGTCCCCGTTAACTGTCTCGGGTACAGATTCTTGCCCATCCCCGTACTTGTCGGGCATCGGTCGGGTAACAGATACCCGACGAGTACTGCATACCCGATAAACAAGGACACTTGGGGGTCGCAGCTTTGCAATCGGAGACGTTTCTTCTTCACCCGGGTATAAGTGTCGGAGTCTCGAAGATGCCGAGGAGAAGGAGCGAGGTTGCGAGGAGGACGAGCAAAGGTGGCAGAGAGACCGAACTGAGGAAGCGAGGGGCACGAGCGCTCGTGAGGCAGGCGTGCTTGTGCTGCTGGCGGAGATGGTGAGGAAAAATTGAACTAGGGTTTCTAGAACACACAAACTATATATATGATTGTTCAGATTTGGACCAAAATACCTATGTTGAGCTTCTTTGGGCCTAATACTTACATGACAGCTCAAATAGTCGGGTTCCCCAACGGGTAACGGGGACGAGTAAACAGGGAACGTTCCCGTACCCGTTATACCTGTCGAGGATGGATTCTTGTCCATTTAGATGCCCGCGGGTAAAGATATGATCACATCCCCGTCCCCTAATGGATCAAATACCCGTCGGGTATCGGGTATCGAGGCCCCGTTGCCATCTTTATCCGGGGCCTGTTTGGAACACTGGACTGAGAAACGTAGGAAAAGAAGAAAACACAGGAATAGAAAGGTATGGTAAGAGTAAAGCAGAGGATTGAAAGAATTCAGGAACTTCAAAAGAGAGGTGTTTGGAACGCAGGAACGAGAAAGTAAATATTGAATTGGAAATGAATGTCAAAGTATCTTCTAACCTTGAAATGACACAGACTAAACACTACTAATCGTATGGTCCATGAATTTATTGGAAAAAAAAATGAAGCAGCCTAGAAGAATCTCACGGCTCATGGACCAAATGCATTACGTGGGGGCCACTGAAAAGGCAGGTGCTCATCTCTGTCGCAAGCGTTTGCCTTGGGCTTTCACGAAAAATTTGAGTCGGAGTAGATGTTTTGGTTCCCGTGTTTTGTGAAGGCCACTCCGCCTTTCCTCCGAAACGGTAGGATTCATTCGTGTGATCCAAACAGCTTGTGACGTCAGTCAACTAAAGGAATCGCTTTCCTGTGAAATTCCTACTAAAACCTCTATTCCTACTAGAAACCTCTATTCCAAACAGGCCCCCAGGACGGAAAATTACCTGCACAAGGTGGGACAGCTCGGGACCGTTCCTTGACGCTAGCCTCTGGTGAAATGAAACGTACACAGGGATGTTGATGCACAAACCATGAGCTCGTCCAGTCCGAAATTGATTTTGGCTTGTTCGCTTGAATTTATCAGTCGACTTATCAGATAAAATCTATAATATTTTTCTCTCATAATAAAATAGCTTCAGCCGACTTATCAGCCAACTTTAATACCAGTCGAACAGGCCCGCATGCCTGAAAAGCTGGCACCTTGCACTGGTGATGCTGGGAGCGTGTGAGGCCACGATCAATTGAAGTCTCTCGAGAAGGACCAGAACCCTAACTCAGCCGGAGAAGAACGGGTCGGAGAACGACGCTGGAGCATTTACAGTTTTGTTATCTGTCAGCATGACTCAAATTTAAGCTTGATCACCTTATTTAGGAAAAAGTCCACATTAACTTCCTCAACTTTTGCGAAAATATGTTTTTCCTCCCTAAACTCTAAAACCGGGTAAACCACCTCCTGAACTTTTAAAACCGTTCGTTTTATCTTCCTGACCGGTTATATGCAGTTTTCAAAGGCGGTTTTGTCTTTTTCTTTTTTTTATTTATTTTAGCTAAATCTTTGAAAAATTATAATAAATCATAGAAAAATCATAAAATAGGAAAACCAATTTTGTTGGACTCCACATGAGTAGATCTATACAGTAAACATATAATATGGTATGCTTTAGTATACTTTTTGTTGTTGTAGCTTTCGATTTATATTTTTCTATAATTAATTTATAGCTGCAGTTTCTATGGTCTAATTATAGTGAAATTTTTATGGTGGGCTAATTATTGTATGCTTGAACTGTAGTAAGTAAAAATTTCATACTCATTGGATCATGTATAACTTAGTTATAGATTTATGAGTATGAAATTTTTACTATAGTTCAAGCATAAAATAATTAGCACATAACTAAGTTATACATGATCCAATGAGTATAAAATTTTTACTACTGTTTAAACATACAAAAATATCCCACTATAAAAATTTTACTAAAATTGGATCATAGAAACTGCAGCTATAAATTAATTACAGAAAATCATAGATCTAAAAGCTACAGTAAAAAATTGTACTAAAGCATACCATATTATATGTTCACTGTGTAGATATTCTCATGTGGAGTCCAACAAAATTAGATTTTTTATTTTATAATTTTTCTGTGATTTACTATGATTTTTTAAAGATACATCCGAAATAAATAAAAAAGAAAAAGACAAAACCGACTTTGAAAACCGCTTATAGCCGGTCAGAAAGATAAAACGAATGGTTTTAAAAGTTTAAGAAGGTGGTTTACCCAATTTTAGACTTCTAAAAGCAAAAGCATACTTTCGTAAAAGTTGAGGAGGTAACCGTTAACTTTTTTTTCTTATTTATCCAAGGTTGAGACCGAAATGTAGGGCCTGATCAGAGTCGACGGCCTGGCTGAGTGTGTTCACCATACTTCACAGTAACGGCCCATAAGGTTACTTGTGGCCCAGCCCACATAAGCCCATCTTAGATGTGCTCTGTGGCTCCCGCTGCGAGCCCTTTTATCCCTTATCCAACCTGATGCCTCACCATTCCGAGCACGCGAGTCTTCCCTGCGCTTGCTCCTCCTCGCCACATGGCGCTGCTCGCCATCCAGGGCATGGCCATGTCCACCGCCGCCGCGGCCCTCCCATCCCACAACCACGGTGCTGTCTCCTCCTCTGTCTCTACCTCCTCCTACGCACTCGGAGCCTCTGCCGCCTTCCCCCGCGTCCGAGCTGCGTTCGCCGTTGGCGCCGTCACGTCGGCCGCCGTCACTCCAGTTCTTGACGGTAAATTAAGCAGCGACCTCCTCACTTCCTTTTTGTCCGAGGTAGTTTCTTTCTGGCACATGTCAAGAGCAATGGCTACTGTTTTCCTCGAATAAGGAAGAAAAGGCAGTGGCTACTAGTATTACAACGACACTTGGGGAAATTCGTTCGAGTTCAATTGGGGTCACCCTATAAAATCTGTAAAATCCTTTAGTAAATCACTATATTCACTATATGATTCAAGGCTCAGTGTACAATGCAGTGTAGCTGACCCCGATGATATTTATGGGAATGAAGATTTTCCTTCTTTGTATAAAATAGTCAAGTAAGGAATTTGTCACTGAAATGGACTCCCCAGAAGAGGTAGAAGTTCTGATGCTGTTAGTCGATCTGGGTTAATTAGACTGATAAAGTTGTTCCACAGGAAGAAATTTAAGGTATTCATATATATGAACTGAAAACTACTACCATAGTACTCCCTATGATCCAAATTATAAGACGTTTTGTTTTTTCTAGATACATAGTCTTTGCTACGTATTTAAATACACACAATATATATAGTAAAAGCAATGTATCTTGAAAGCCAAAACGTTTGGTGCCAGGAGTGAGTGCCGAACAAGGCAGTTAGCTTAATCTCTTGTTTACCACTACTACCTATAGTTTTGGTCGTCTCTGATGCCACTGGCCACAGCTGTTGTAAACACTTATTTCTGCTTTTATTAGTAATACTAGTATAATGCCCGTGCTAACGTAACGGATTTATTTTGGAGACGCACATAAAAACAACCAATGTTTTTTTTCTCCATAGTTCAACTTTTACACAATATCTTTGAGCATGTATATAATCCGGGAAACTAAGAAGTCATAGTAAAGTTTTTTCTCATATAACTATTTAAGTTACATTCTGTCTAAGTCATTAATCATGACTTGGAGATCTTTAGGAAAGTTGTCAAAACATTCGTTTGCACGGCTCTTAAGAATGTCCCCCAAAAATTCCATCCTCAGTGAATTTGATAGCTGCGCATGGTAGATATAATAAGTTAAGTTATTAATTTTGTATGTAGTGTACGGAATATAGTTAGAGAATATATGCTTACAGTGTCGATCGGTGGCAATCTTACACCATCCCATGACTTCATGAAATTGTATACAAGGAAGCCTCCTAATTTTCTGGAGATGAGCATTTGTTTGATTTATTGTACATAAATCAAATAACTATTTTGTGATAATAAGAAAGATGAAACATATTATAGGTGATTACCGGTCTTTATGTTTTGGAACTTTTGTAACACATGCAGGGAATATTCGCTTCCAGTAATAAATATTGTCGTCCCACTTAGAATTTATCAGTTTCATAGCGAGATTGAACCTTTTAGCAATAGTGTGAAATATAGCTATATATGGCATGATTTGATCATAACCCTTGTAACATACATCATCTGGGTGTGGATCCATAATGTGTACAGTTTTCTTTTGCATGTCCATTATAAATAAAGTATAGAGTCCATCTCGATAATATGGCAGTAGAATCTAAAAACATAGACATAGAATATAAGTGTTTAAAAAAGTATAATATATATAAATAAAATATAAAGGAGTACACTGGACATATCTTACATTGCTGCAATCTTTAATTTTGTATTCCATGTCAGGCCAGCACTCGAGCACTTTTGCCAGTTTCTTGTGGTAAGCAGAGGAGTTTGCCGAGTGTTTTCTTTTTTGCACTCGGCAAATAAATAAAATCTTTTTTCTGAGAAAGAAGAAGAAAAAAAATGAAAAAAAAACTTTGCCGAGTGTCCAGATCTGGGACACTCGGCAAACGACAAAATTTACTTAATTCGAGTCTCTGAAAAGGAGGAGAGGTAAGCGAGAGCCAATGACATGCGAGGTCCATGGGTGAAGTGGCCGGCTCCTATTGGTTGTTGTGACGTGGTTGGGAGCTGGTCATTGGGTGCCTTCGGTGCTGCCTCATCCCTTCCCATCCACGTGCACCGACTTCAGAGAGAAAAAGAGAGAACAGAGAGCGGGAGAAAGAGAGAGAAGGAGACGGCAAGGAGAAAGCAAGCAGGGCGAGGCGGAAGTGCATGGCGCCGGCGTAGCAAGGCAAGGCGGCGATCCCGGCGCAACAAGCCAGTAGAGGCGATCTGGCGGCAAGGCGCTTAAGCGTCGAGGCGAGGCGGAGCGAGCAAGCAGCGAGAGCGGCGCAGGTGGTGCTTGCTGCAGCACGCAGCGGAGCAAGGCGAGGCGCGGCGAACGACATCTTCCGTCCTTCCTCATTGTCCAATGTAGCAACAAGGGAGAAGAGGGCAGGGCAGAGCTGGGGGAGAAAGGGAGAGCAGAGCAGAGATGCAGAGCGGAGGGAGAAGGGGGAAGCAAGGGAGCAGCGCAGTTCGGCTTGTCGGCGCAGGGCGATGGCGGCGCTTGGTGGCTTCACGACCGCGCACGAGGCAGCCCTGCCCCTCCCGTCTATGGCGCAGGGCGGCTCGGCCCCTCCCGGTGATGCGGAGCAGCAGCAGCAGCAGCAGCGGGTGGCGGTGCAGATCCGCCCTCCTCCCCTCCCTCCATGGCTCCACCGGCAGGTGGCATCGCGGATCCGGTGGGATGGAGCCACCACGGCGCGGATCCGGCGGAGAGGTCCTCCGGCGGCGGATCCGGTGGGTTGGATCCCGGTGGCGGTGGATCCGTGGATCTGACGGTTAGGAGCCCTTTGGCGGCAGGCTCCACGGCGAGCAACGCGGCGGCGGCGGGCTCCATGGCAAGCTGTCTCTCGGTCAATTGGCACTTAGCGATGGATTGGAGATCAGCAACAGCAAGCATAGATTGCACACCAACTCACGGTGTTAGCTATGTCGGGATAGACGAGGCACCAGACCGCGCCTTGGACATCGACAATACCTGCCCGCTCGGCAGGGCAGGTCGGGCGGTGTTTTCAGCAAGCTTGGAGGCGGTGGCGCATCCGGCGGCGTCGCGACCAGTGGCGTTGAGGCGTCGAGGGGCGTGGGCATGATCGTGATTGATCGGGATATCTTTTTTCCACGCGTGCGTGATTGTGGGTAGGGGCTGCGGGCTTGTGGCCTTGGGTGGAGGGGGAGATGCGGGCATGATCGTGATTGACGGGAGTTTGTTTCCCCGCTCGTGCATGATTTCGGGGAGGGGTTGCGGCCTTGTGGGGGAGGGGAGCGGAGACGCGTGCGACGGCGATTTTGTTTCCACCTGATTGTGCGTTGAAGCCTGGAGGGTGGGGAGATCCAAATAACGTTCGCCACCGGATCGAGTTGAACCTTGTGAGGAAGGATTAGGAGCCATAGATTTTAATGATGTTAAAATCTTGGGTGCAATTTCATTGGTGCACAATAAATGGCTCCCTCAGCGGGGGACGTATTGTTTGGTATATCTAAAATAGTTTAGATTGGCCCCTTATAGTAGAGATACAAAGAGTCAAAGATGCGTGCTTCTCACGCCTGTACTTCAAAGAGGACAGTTGTAATTAATCATGATTTCAATTCAAATTCTGAAATTATAATGTCCAAAGCCAACTCCAGAATTTTACTCTCTGATTACTAGAACCCAACTGGGTTGCAATCCATTTTTGGCTTCTGTTTATACCAATACTGATGACTTTATTTGCTCTTGCTCAGTCTATTGTGGGAGAGGGGACAAGAAGACGAAAAGGGGCAAAAGGTTCAACCATTCATATGGCAATGTGAGTCCTCCAGCACAATTTTCATCGCATTTTGGTTTTTATGATTCTGTCTTATCTAGCTGTCTGACCATGTTAGGCGAGGCCACGCAACAAGAAGAAGGGAACTGGGCCTCCGCGGCTCTTTGCTCCTCCAGCGCCTCCAAGGAAAGACCAGTTCGATGACGGGGAGATCATTTCAATCGAGATTGATGAGGACATCCTGGAATAGGTTGTCCTGAGTTTTGCTTTGCTTTATATTTGCCCTGAGCTTAACTGGCCTAGCTTGTACCAAATCGAATACTGCATATTAAGTAATTATTTCCTCGCCTATAAATGTCAATGTACAGGCTGCCACACTTTTCTTTGGCTAGTAATTTTCCAACTGCTGAGTTGTTTTTTACTCCATCCTAAAAAGAATCACTGTGAAGGGCGGGCCACCGCCTGTGACCGGAAGGTCCCGGGTTTGAGTCGCGATCTCCTCGCATTGCACAGGCGAGGGTAGGACTTACCACTGACACCCTTCCCTAGAGCTCATACATAGTGAGAGCTCTCTGCATGTACGCCTAAAAAGAATCACTGTGCGTTTGAACTAAGTAATAAACCTTTAAGTTTGACTAGGTTTATATAAAAAAATTATCAACATGTCTTTAAATATGTTTATTATAAAAAAATATTATATGATTCATCTAGCTATAATTATTACGATTTGAAAAGAGAATGACATTAATTTTGGGAGGGGGAGATTACACGCTAACAGCTAAAACAAAATCCTGCATATCTTACTACTGAATTATTCATACACGCTAACAACTAAAACTGATTTATTCATACACGCTAACAGCTAAAACAAAACCATGGATACACAACTTTGGTTTGTTAAAGCTGGCAAGATCTTGACTTGCATGCTGAACTATGGTTCTGAAAGAATCGTGTTGTGTTATTAATTTGTGCTGCAATGTACATGTCATGTTTTGTTTCAAACTTCAGCTAACCAGCGGTGTGGTAAATCTCTCGTGACTTTGTCTCCTCTCAGCAAAATATGATCCAAACAAGTTGCTGTCTCCAACTCAGCATATAGAATGGTTTTTGCCGATACATAAACCAGTATTACAGCCTAGTAGTGAACAAAAAAGGGACTGCTCGATTCTCCATCGACAGGACCAAATTACACGAAATTTAACACCAAAGAGACTAGTTATTATACGAATATAAAGATAACCATCATCCACATAGAAGCATGTTTTTTTTATGTCCGAACATAACCTCAAACGAGCAAACCACACTCAGCAACCTGCTGGTAGGCAGGAGTTCCAAAACGGGCAAGCAAAGAGAAGCAACTCAGTACTTGTAGTCCTTGACGTGGAGGCTCTCGGTGTCAGCGGCAGCATCACCCTTGTAGGTGCCAAGGGTAGCCTCAGAATTGGCCTTGCACCTGGCGAGGAAGGCCGCCCTAGCCTTCTCAATGTTCTCCACCTTGCCAGCCCAGGCCTTGAGGGTGCTCGCCTGGAGGGCACGGCCGAAGGAGAAGGACAGGGACCACGGCTTCTTGGTGCTGAGCTTGTTCATGGCATTGAGGTTGAGGGTGGCCTCCTCCTCGCTCTGTCCACCGGACAGGAAGACAACAGCAGGCACAGCAGCAGGGACGGTCCTCTGGAGGGTACGGACGGTGTACTCAGCAATCACCTCAGGGGCCACCTTCTTAGAGTCGGAGCCTGGAGTCACCATGTTGGGCTTCAGGAGGGTACCCTCCAGGAGGACATGGTGCTCGTTGAGAGCCTTGTAGCAGGCAGCAAGGACGGTCTCAGTGACGTAAGCGCAGCGATCAATGTCGTGAGGGCCATCAATAAGGATCTCAGGCTCAACAATCGGCACCAGACCGTTCTCCTGGCAGATGATGGCATAGCGAGCCAGACCCTGAGCGTTCAGGTCAATGGCAAGCTGCGATGGCTCATTGGGGCCGATCTTGAGAACAACACGCCACTTGGCAAAGCGGGCACCGGCCTCGTAGTACTTGGCGCAGCGCTTGCCAAGGTCATCATGGCCCTGAGTGGTGGTCTCCTTGTCGGTGCCAGCAACCTCAATGGTGCCCTTGTCGACCTTGATGCCAGGGAGGACGCCTCCTCCTTGAGGACATCGACAAAGGGCTTGCCATCCTTGGTCTTCTGGTAGAGGGTCTCCTCAAAGAGGATCACACCGCTAATGCACTGGAGAGCACCAGGGCAGCAGAAAAGGAGCTCACGGAGGGCACGGCGGTTCTCCTCCACGTTCTCAACATTGATGCTGGAAAGGCGCTTGCCAATGGTGCCAGTGGACTCATCAGCAGCAAGGATACCCTTGCCAGGGGTGCCAATGTAGGCAGCATTCTTGATGAGCTCATCTGCAAAATAACAAACACAGAAATTTAATTAGTGCAAGAATAGTGGGACTTGACAATCAATAAGCATAAGCATGGTTAGGCCATCCTGAATAATACAAAATCACTACAATTATTAATTCAGGAAGTTACTACTGGTTAACCAAAAACTGCTTTATATATAACTATATTACCATAAGTATGCTTTATATATAAACTGTATTATCATAAACATCATCATGACTAAAAGGAAGCACAGATCAAGATTAGACTAGCACAGTAAGCTTAAAACCATTTATAGATCTGACTATCATAGATGCAAGCATATAGCATCGACTATCCCATATGCATGCATATAGCATCTATTCTAGCAGCCATGACATGACAGGAAAGTATTTAGATTGAACAAGCAGGTAATATCATTTGAAGCAAGCACACAAAAACTACAACATGAGCCACCAGTGCATGCCAGCGGGAGAATTTAAACAAGCACACAAAAACTACAACATGATCCACCTGTGCATGCCAGCAGGAGAATTTATATTTCATCATGAACCAACATACCAAACCGACATAATCTAACCCACCGTGTGCCTCAATTGGAAACAGCATGAACAGATAGATGCATACCACTCTATGTATAGATAAAATCAAAACAAAAATAAGCGAATCCCATATCAAATTAACCGATCATAGAGGCATCACCTGCTCTATCACCTAAACCCTTTTGGCAACCACCAAACCCCTAAAAGCCAAACACAAGCAGTCACTAAAAGCCAAACGCAAGTAGGCACGACCGCACAAAGCCTGTACGGATCTACAAAAATTCCACAAATCCTACACCCAAACGGGTCTCTCAGAGCTAAACGAATCGTTAGCATACTCGTCAACACAGCTAGATCTGAGGGCACCAAGAACGAACAAGTAACAGATCTACGATACACAAGACCGAACGACATCACAAGCAGATCAGCAACGAACGAGGATACAAACAGGACCGGGGAAGGAGGAGACGACGAACGCACCCTTGTACTTTCCGCAGTAGGCCGACATGATCGATGGTCGACGGAGGCTACGAGGATTGCAGGAGGAGGCGGGTGTTGTTGGGAGGAATGGTTAGGCAGACGGAGACGGGGGATGAGGAGGACGGGCCGAGGGTGTATTTAAAGACGGGGGTTCCGGGTTCGGGCTTGGCGAAGGGGAAAAAAACCAGACAAAAAAAAAAAGCATCTGATCTGGGTGCGCCACCAGACCTTGCGGATCGGAACCTTGCGCGGCGCGGCGCGGCGCGCGTGGTTCGGTGCTGCCCCCGGTTTTCATCTGTATTTTCGTCGACGCCCTTTGGATTTTCTGGTCGGCAACGTAACAGGTGGAAACTAATTTTAAAACTACCAATTACGATGCCGATCCAACGAATGACGTGAGATGTGGAATTTTTTTGCGCTTAAATTCCCTACCCACCGGCCTTTTTTTTACGCTTAAGCTACCTCACCATATCTATTGGATCATCATCTAGTGATCTTGATCAATAGTTTTCAGGTTTACACAGGTCAATTGGTTTACACCTGATACGTTGGCCGGACCGGTTCTCTTTCTCCACGAGGCATATCTATTTTACCATATTTTTTACTGTTATACATAGTGTAAATTGCATCGGTGCCATCGAGTCTTTTTGTTGTTCATAAAAACTCTTTCTAGCTTAGAATTAGAATAACTAAGGGATGATTGATGAATATGATGCCTATCTTATCGGTACCAGATGTAAATACTCTACATACATATTTTGTGGTGGTTTTCATACCTCTGTATATTCCGGGATGCAGTTCAATATGTTGTAATCTTATTGTCCAAGTAATTATTTTTGTTAAATATGTGTTTTAGTTGTGTACATATGTAGATTCAATTATCATAGGCCCAACCGAATTCCCAGAGAGGTAACTCCAGAAAGATACAATAAATTAAGATTAAGTAGTAGGAATCAACGAGCATGTTGCAATAAATAAATAAAAACTATTTCTTTTTTTCCCATTTGCCATGGACGCTCAACAAAAAGGCATAATTCCCACTTCTTCCCGGGTGCCGCACGAACCACGAAGCACTCCCCTCGAGCGAGCGCAAACCCGACCGGTCTGACGGTCCGGGCCGGGCGCACTTTCGTCCAACCGTGCCACCAACCCCCGGTCCGCGAGTAGCCCGTAGCCCAAGCCGCCCCAGCCCCCAGGCGTGACGCAGCGTCGCAATATACCAACGCCGCCTGCTGCGGGTCCCCCGCGCGTGACACCTTGCCGCGCCGCAGACCCCGCCGGTCCACCCGTGTACGGCGTACCGCACCGCCTGCGGATGGGGCGGTTTTGTCGCCGGCCGCACGGAGCGGACGGAGGGGGGAGGGCAGCGCGCGTCGTCGCGGCTTCGGCTTCGGCTTCGGGCGTCCGCAGCGGCGCACCAAAACCGTCGGTCGAAAGCGCGGTTTCCGGCCCACCACCACCTAAACCTGGTGCCGCCTCCCCCCCTCCCGTTTTCGGGCTGCGGGCTGCGGCTGCGGCTACGCCCCGGTTTTGCAGGTCGGCTCCCGTGATCCGCACACATGATGGACGCGCGCCCACGGTTCCCTCCGGCTGAGTCCGCTCCACCCAAACCCTTTTTGCCTTCCGTCCCTCTGCTCCCTCCTGTGCTCACAAGTTACAACAGCCTCGAGCTTTTCCGCTCCCGTTTCACCGCGCTCACGCGCTCATTCCCTCGCGAGCCCGGCTCCTTGTCCTTGTCGGGCGACGGCTGCGCCTGCGCGGGCGGCACGGCGCCTTCCTCCCGTGCACGTACAGGTTCAGCGGTGCCGATCACGGTCGCAGCTCGCAGCATGACGTCGACTCGCCCAAACCTTCCAGAGGCAGGCCGCACTCCGCCGCAGGCAGGTCTTTGGCGGCGTGCGTCCAAGTGGTGGCGGCATCGCTGTGCCTGTGCCGGACGGGACCGGACCGCTGGACCATGACCGTCGTCTCGCAAGTGCGACACGGCATCCGGTGCTCGGGCCATGGACTTTTCACGTGGCATGACACATAATGGAACGCGTTCACCGGTCGCCGTCGCGGCTTTCCTTTTTGAATTTTGAACGGAGACGAAAGCCATGGCAGCTTCCACTTTCCAGAGCCGTGGTTCGTATTCAAATCGCAAGGTGTGCGATGCGTGCGCCGGAAAGGCGAGGAAGCAGCGGTGTTTTACGTGGCAGCCGCCGTAGGTGACTGGCTGGCTATTGTGGAATATACTTTTGGTCTTCCACGGGGTCACATTCACATCGGTGCGCACCTGCACGCAGCCTTGGGAAAAAAGGATGCCAGCAACTGGTCTGTGGTCGGTCTCACCAGAGACGGCTTTGACAGGTCAGTTTGACAGAGACTTGGAGTTGAGAAATGCCTTGGGACATCGGTGATGGGGCAGCAGTTGTTTCTAATGAGGAGCGACCTGGACAGCATGATACACAGCCCGTCCGGCTGGGCTGGCTGGTGCTGGCCAGTCCTCTCCCGCGGGCACTGTTCACATAAACAATATCTTTTAGATAGGACAGTATTTTTTTCTCATACTGAAACCCAAGTAGATGATCTTTCTCAAAAACCAAAGAACGAACCAGCCGACTCTGCCGAACAAGCCGACAATCGTTGTTATAGCCTTTGTCACTCATCATTTTTTAATACAAGCAGCAAAAGTAGAATCTTGCTACATCAAGGCATGGAATTCTATGATACAATAGTGAGTAGTAGATGTTAACTGAAACAGTTGTTCAATGACTAGTATCAGATTAAATACTCCTAGGCTTCCGAGAGAGGAATCGAATTAAATGTGCTGTGTTGCAAGAAAAGTTTGAAGCTTACTCTCAATGTCATAAGAAATCCAAACAAATTGAATATTGAACAATAATGCTTGAAAGGAGATGTCAGGCTTCACGCGTTTGACCTTGCAAAAGAAATGTCAAGTGCAATGATACGCATTGTAATAATGAACTAATGATAGAACCACGTCTACCCAGACTAACAACAGATAGACTGTCAGTCTGTCACACACACCTCTGTCCGCTCACTAATAAGGCAGAACAAGGAACCAAGTCGATGAATCAACAAATGAACCAAAGGCAACGAAACCATCTCACCAATATGGAACATTTCACTTCTTCAGCCAGGCAGTTACATATCTATAGTGTTACAAGAACTATGAGGTGCAGCCCTTTGAAGTGGCGCCGATTGGACACCACAAAATTTAATATGAATGAACCTAATAACCAATAAACAATCAGAGAAGGGAGAGAGGGAGGCAGGAAAGATGAAAACAAAAGGAGGTGTACAACAAGAAGCCCCGCCAAATCGAGGGCTGAATCCCTGTTTGGCCTTCCTATACATCATATTTCTTTGGCTGATGCCATTGCACTAGAGTTCTTGACAGGTAACCAAGCAATGATTTATTAGGAGGGTATGTCCTCTTGCCATATAGATGCTTCCCTCCGAGATCAGTATACTTTGAACTGTTCTCTCTTTCGATCTGCAAAACCATTAAAAATGATATGTTTAGGAAAACCTAAACATTAAGAGGCATTTTGTATGGTGAATTTTCTTTAAATATTTTCAAGCAAAATGACTTGTTCTCAAAGAGGAAAAGGCCCAAGAATATGTTGCATGTACCTTGCTTATTTTCCCATCTCTCAAGTAGTATCGGATACCAGACCAATTGATTGATTGGGAGAAATGTGATCTGAATGCAGATATTGGATAGAGGAAATTGTCTACCAACAAAGCAATGAACACCTGAAATTGAAGCCCAGCCATAATAAGATTACTAAATAGGTTATCACAGGGGAGAAAATCTCAGGGTCCTAAAATTATTTGGTGTGGTGAAAAGGGATACTCACAAGCCCCCAATTGTACGAATCAAGAGATACTTTCGGTCCTTCAGGGGATAGCATATTGCATAGTTGAATTTCCACCTTTGTCAAATTCCACATTGAAACAAGCTCGATGAGAGTGCATATGAACAAGAGGCCCACTAGGAACAAACCTGAAATAGCATGCCACAAGATAACAAAAGTGTGGTGAGACATTTTGACAACAAAAAGGTTTGGGGTTGGAAGGCAAGGAACTGACCCCAAGATGAATCGGACGCTTCCTTTACAACTTTGCTGTACGGTGCTCGAAGAGCAGCTAAAACATGGACCAAAGCCATAATATATGGGCAGACAAACCCCCATGACAGATAGCAATGACTTGTAAATAATGCACGGTTCATCATCCAGTTGACATTCGATACATATGACTCAAGAACAAAAGTTTGTTTCCTGAGGTAATTCCAGTATCTGCATGAAAAATAAACATGTATATGAAGTGATAGTTAAGCCTAGTTGCTTGTATCTTACTTTTCTGCAGTTACTATTCACTGTCATGTAATTTTCAGGTTCCTTGGCTTCCAAGTAGGAATCGAAGCATCTGCTTTACATAGCAGAATATGCTAAGAGTAGGTAGAGGTAGCAAAAGTCACTTTGCTCTATATAAGCAGTGGCAGACCATCTTGTATCCCAAGTATTGCAACTTCATTTCAATCCAAGCGGCCTAGTGGCCAAGCTGCCCTCTGAGCTTTCTACAAAATATGAAATCCAATTTCTTATGTCCAGGCAACAATTGGTATCAAGAGCCTAGGGTTCTAGTGAGTGAGAGCCATGTCCACCGAGAGCCAAATCGTCGAGCGTCGCGCCGCCCGTCGAGGAGGAGCAGTGATCAACCCTCGGGACGGCCCGGCCAGCCTTTGAGCCGGAGCTGACCGACAGCAAGCGCGCTTTTTGCCGCCAGCAGAGGCAGCAGGCTGCGACGGCGGCGTCGAGATGGTCGGCAAGTGAATGCTGCAGCTCGAACCGCGATGGTGGTGCAGCTCTGCAACGCTTTCGCTTGGAGCCGCCGGGAGGATCATGCAGCCCGCGCCGCCGCCGATCGCCGTCACCGAGCGGCGGCGTGGCGTCGCGGGCGTTCGCCGTCTTCGCAGACCATCTACTACCTCGACTCGGCGAAACGCCATGGCGATGCTCACCATGAGCAACTACCATGAGTGGAGCTTGCATAAGGTCAAGCTGCAAGCTCGGCGGCTTTGGGAGGCGGTTCACGTCAGCGGCGTCCACTACGACGACGATTGCCGGGCCTTGGAGGCTCTGTGCGCCACCGTCCCCACCGAGCTCGGTGCCTCCATCGCCAACAAGGCCACGACGAAGCTGGCGTGGGACGCAATCGCCGCGGCGCGCGTTGGAGGAGATCGCGTACGCCGGGCGACGCTGCAGTGGCTCCGAGGAGAGTGGGAAGCCCTCGCCTTTTAGCCCGGGGAACAAGTCAAGGACTTCACCGTGCGGCTGACCAATCTGATGGAGCAAATGGCGCGCAACGGCGACACCGACTTGACGGAGGAGCACGCGGTGGAGAAGTTCCTCCGCTGCATGCCGAAGAGGTACGTGCGGATCGTTAATTCAATCGAGACGCTACTCGATTTCGAGCAGCTCACCGTCGAGGACTTCACCGGGCGGCTCAAAGCGGTGCAAGACCATGAGCAGGCGTCGGATCCCGAGCCGGCCACCGTCAGAGGCAAGCTGTTGTACACGGCCGAGCAGTGGCGCGCCTTCGAGAAGAAGGAGGGCGCTGGATCGTCCAAGGATCGTCGTCGGTGTCCCCGTGGCGGCAAGAAGAACAAGCCCAAGGGTGATCGCGACGGCGGCGGCGGACAAGCGGACAAGGCAGGCGTCGGTGGCGGCGAACGCAAGGCAAACCGCAACGACACCTGCCTCAACTGCAACCGCGCTGGACACTGGGCCAGGGACTGCCTTCATCCCCGGCACGAGCGTGGCGGCGCGGCGAACGTTGCAGAAGCAGAGGAAGACGCTGCTCTGTTTCTCGCGCACGGGTTCCTGGAGCAGTGGAGCTGGATGCGGAAGGGAGCAGCGGCAACGCTCAAGCTTCGACCTTCTGCACCGAGTCCGCCGTCGACCTCGACTTCGAGGAGCCGCGAGCCCGTGTCTTCCTCAACACCGGTTCCGGCGGTGACAAACTCGATGGCTGGTACCTCGACAGCGGTGTGACCCACCACATGACCGGTCGTCGCGAGCTGTTCACCGACCTCGACTGCTCTGCCAGAGGCACGGTGAAGTTCAGCGATGAGTCGAAGGTGAAGATCCATGGCTTCGGCTCCATCATCCTCGAGGCGAAGACCGGCGAGCACCGGGTGCTTCACGGCGTCTACTACATCCCGGCGCTCCGCAACTCCATCATGAGCCTCGGCCAATTGGATGAAGGCGGCTCAAAGGTGGAGATTGATCGAGGTGTGCTGAGGATTTGGGACCAGCGTGGCTGGCTTCTCGTCAAGATCCGGCGCGGCGCCAATCGCCTCTACGTCCTCCACCTCGAGACGGCTAAGCTGCTCTGCCTCGCTGCGCGCAAGGATGACGAAGCATGGCGCTAGCATGAACGCTACGGCCACCTCCACTTCGACGTGCTCCACAAGCCCGCCAAGGACGACATGGTGCGCGGGCTGCCGGCGATCAAGCATGTCAGGCAGTTCTGCGGCCCCGTGACGCCGGCAACTCCCGACGGCAGACACTATTTCCTGCTGCTAGTGGACGACGCCACACGGTACATGCGGGTGGCCCTCCTGACGACCAAGGACGCGGCTGCGGACACCATCATGCACCTCCAAGCTGTGGCCAAGAAGGGGAGCGGGCGCAAGCTCTGGGTGCTGCGCACTGATAACGGCCAGGAGTTCACCGGGGCAGAGTTCGTTGTCCATTGCGCGGATGAAGGCATCCAACGCCCCCTACTCGCCGCAGCAGAATGGGGTCGTGGAAAGGAGGAACCAAACGGTGGTGGCCATAGCTCATGCACTGCTAAAGCAACGAGGTATGCCAGCCAGGTTCTGGGGAGAGGCCGTGGTGACCGCGGTCCACTTGCTGAACCGGTCGCCCACGAAGAGCTTGCTGGGCAAGACTCCCTATGAAGCCTGGCATGGAAGAGCGCCGGCGGTTGGTCACCTGCGCACATTCGGCTGCCTCGCCTTTGCCAAGGAGCTGAACCAAGTGAAGAAGCTGGATGATCGCAGCCGGCCTGGCGTCTTCATCGGATACGCCGACGGCGCCAAGGCGTACCGCGTCCTTGACCCGGAGACCCAGCGCGTGCGGGTGACCCGCGACGTCGTCTTCGACGAGAGCCGCGGCTGGGATTGGACCAAGGTGGGAGAAAGCTCGGTGTCGACAGTGGAAGAGTTAACCGTCGAGTACCTGAGGAGCAGAGGGGCAGGGGGAGCGCAAGGCGCGTCTTCGTCGACATCCCCTGTTTCGGCCTCTGCTTCGGCGTCTGCTTCGCCGCGCTCACCATCACCAGCTCCGGGGGAGCCCGGGAACACGGCGGCAGCAGCTGGCACTCCTCCACCGGCCTCACCAATGGCGCCATCAGCCGCGACATCATCTTCTTCCCCTACTGCCACACCGCCGCCCGCTAATCAGCCCCACATCGAGTTCGCCACGCCGCTGGAGGATGACGAGGATCGTCTGGACGCGTTCTATGACGACGAACCCCTCCCCTACCGCACGATGATGAACATCATCGGCGACGAGTCTCCACCAGGGCTAGCGCCGCGTCTATTCGCCCAGCTGCACTTGACTCATGCCGGCGAGCCAACCAATTACGTGAAGCGCAAGGCGATCCAGCTTGGGAGGTCGCCATGAAGCAGGAGCTCCAGGCTGTGGAGAAGAACAAGACCTGGGAGCTCGTTGATCTGCCTACCGATCACCACCCGATCACCCTCAAATGGGTCTTCAAGCTGAAGAAGGACGAGAAGGGGGCGGTGACCAAGCACAAGGCGCGGCTGGTGGCACGAGGTTTCGTCCAGCAAGAGGGTGTCGATTACGACGATGCGTTCGCCCCCGTGGCGCACATGGAGTCGGTCCGCGTCTTCCTCGCGCTGGCGGCTCAAGAAGGATGGCGGGTGCACCACATGGACGTGAAGTCCGCGTTCCTCAACGGCGACCTCAAGGAAGAGGTGTACGTGCGTCAGCCGCCTGGCTTCGCCATCGTCGGGAAGGAGGACAAGGTGTATCGCCTGCGCAAAGCCCTCTATGGCCTGCGGCAGGCACCGCGCGCCTGGAACGCAAAGTTGGACGCCACACTCAAGGAGATGGGCTTCCACCAGAGCGCGCACGAGGCGGCGGTGCACCGGCGAGGCAGCGGGCGCACTGTCCTGCTCGTCGGCATCTACGTCGACGACCTCATCATCACCGGCGCCGAGGAAGAAGTGAAGAAGTTCAAGGCGCGGATGAAGAACAAGTTCGACATGAGCGACCTCGGGCTCCTCTGCTTCTACCTCGGCGTCGAGGTGCGCCAGGATGCCAGCGGCATCACCCTCCGTCAGGCTCACTACGCCAAGCGGATCCTCGAGCTCGGTGAGATGGTTGGCTGCAACCCCGCCCACACGCCAATGGAGGAGAAGTTGCGGCTCAGTCGAGAGAGCACTGCGGAGGAGGTGGACTCCACGCACTACCGGCGGCTTGTCAGCAGTCTCCGGTACCTAGTGCATACCCGGCCGGACTTGGCGTTCGCAGTCGGGTACGTGAGCCGGTTCATGGAACGGCCCACGGTGGAGCATCTACAGGCGGTGAAGCGCGTTCTTCGCTACGTGTCCGGGACCCTGGACTACGGTCTGCACTACAAGAGGGCTCCTGGCACGGGGCGCTTCATCGGCTACTACGACAGTGACCTTGCCGGCGACATCGACACAAGCAAGAGCACCAGTGGAACCATGTTCTTCCTGGGTGACTGCTTGGTCAGCTGGTAGTCCATCAAGCAGAAGGTTGTGGCGCTGTCAAGCTGCGAGGCAGAGTACATCGCCACCACCACTGCAGCAACACAAGCTCTGTGGCTGTCCAGGTTGCTCGGGAAGCTTCTTGGCAGAAAGGTTGATGTGGTGGAGTTGAAGGTGGACAGCAAGTCTGCTTTAGCTCTGGCCAAGAACCCAGTCTTCCATGACAGGAGCAAGCACATTCGGATCAAGTACCATTTCATCAGGGATTGCTTGAAGGAAGGGAGCATCAAGGCCAACCACATCGCCACTACTGATCAGCTGACAGACATACTCACCAAGTCACTGGGCAAGGCCAAGTTCTAGGAGATGAGGAGGAGAGTTGGTCTGAAGCAGATCACTCAGCACTAGGCTTAGGGGGAGATTGATAGTTAAGCCTAGTTGCTTGTATCTTACTTTTCTGTAGTTACTATTCACTGTCATGTAGTTTTCAGGTTCCTTGGCTTCCAAGTAGGAATCAAAGCATTTGTTTTACATAGCAGAATATGCTAAGAGTAGGTAGAGGTAGCAAAAGCCACTTTTCTCTATATAAGCAGTGGCAGACCATCTTGTATCCCAAGTATTGCAACTTCATTTCAATCCAAGCGGCCTAGTGGCCAAGCTGCCCGCTGGGCTTTCTACCAAATCTGAGATCCAATTTCTTATGTCTGGGCAACATGAAGAAAACAATATTAGTTAAGATGCATACATTGGTTTAGCATAAGCATGTGCACAGAAAAGAAACCCAAAGCATTGTGGCACACTGGCACTAGTAGAAATCCATAGTATATTAGTGTTTTTTCTTGAATAGTATAATAGTGTGTGAAAACATAACTCCCAGTAGGTTAATTTGGCCAAGCACCCTAGAAACGGTAAGAAACCAGAGTAAATCAAGGGCCCCTATCCAACTATCTCCAGCAATTGCAATCATTGTTGCACACCAGAAACCAGAGTTGTGCCACCACTGTACCAGGTATTATGTACCACTCACCACTACACATATGATGAAGATCTTAAGCCACGTATTTTTCAATTGATGGAGCATATTGTATTGCTTATTTTCATTGACCCACCTACATATCCATCATGGTTTTTCACAGAAAATATGTTGGGCGGGACATCTCAACAGTTTAGCGTAAAAAAAGATATATTGGGTGCTCTTTTTGGCCCCCGCCTTGAACCTAGCAAACTTGCTTCGCAAATAGAAACTTTGTCATTGTGACAGAATGAATGGGACTTATGTGATTCACTCTTTCTTTTACTGCCCTCAAATAAGCTGCATAGCTTTCCAATGCAAAATTTGCTGTACCTGGAGAAGCTAAGATCACTGGCAAGAGGGTGTGGAAACACAGCAACAGGAGGTGAAGATATGAGCCTTTTGTGCTGTCCTGTGAAAGATACAGTTAAATTATTATAAGCAAATGCTGTGTGGTCAAAAGGTATAGACCAAGAACACAAAAGATTGATATGAACAAAGTTAGAAGTCCCAAATAGAAAAATGATTGAAAATCATAGCAGCCCTTGGCCTTTAAGCATAAAAGTAATTATCAGATTGTATTTCATTCCTAATGCTAAATTTCGGCCTTTTGTAACAAAAGAGGCATAACTTCTGGCAAAGAAGAATTACCTGCTATTGCAGCGAGTGTCATATCATCTGAGTAACCACCATCTCTTAATCCACTGACAACACCATATCGGTCTTGCCTAAAATCATCAGCATGCATCTAAAGTGAAGCCTTGTTAGAAACACTATGGATGATTAAAGTTTATACAGAGCAAATCTAGAGAAAATGTTCCCATCAAGAAATAGACTATATATACCATCATACAGCCACCCCACAAGAAGAAAGTCTTCCCACCAGTTGCAAATCCCATCGAGCAAGGCTGCAGTATGGTTATTGTCACTAAATTTCAAGGATGATCAATAGTGAAAATGAACAATGGACATACACACAAAGAACTACATTACTAACTAGCAAAACTAAAAGATAGAATGACAGGGTAATATATGCTAACGAGGAAACATGATGCGGCTAAAAGAAATAGCCCTTTGGATGTTGGTAATGCAAGCCTTTATGTCACAAACAATCAAATCGTTAACCAAAGAGATGCAAACACTACGGAAGGGACAGATACTATTACATTGCAGAACAGTGATGAAATTTCTCGGTGGTTGACATTTTCTCAACATTAATGTTGCTTAGAATTGAAGGGCGGGCTTGGTGCAAGCGGTAGAGTCTTACCGCCTGTGACCGGAAGGTCCCGAGTTTGAGTCGCGGTCTCCTCGCATTGCACAGGCAAGGGTAAGGCTTGCCACTAACACCCTTCCCCAGACCCCGCACAGAGCGGGAGCTCTTTGCACTGGGTACGCCCCCTTTTTTTTAATGTTGCTTAGAATTCTGTTTTGGTGGAATAATAGGTACTGCGTTTAACAGATAACATGACTAGATCAGTAACATGAGGGGACTTTTTAATGGTGTAGATGAAAAGAGAAAAGAGAAAAAGATCAAGAATGCGTAGAAGCAATAACAAAATTATTAATGCGCGAGGCAGTGTCTTAGCACATCGGAATAAACAACTTAATCCATGGAATAACAGCACACAATGTAGATTCTAGATTAACTTTCTTGTATTTAATGAAAGGACAGGCAGACACCCATAACATATGGTTCTAATTAAATAACTTCATACCATGTGGTATTCATATATGCAATAGCTGCCCAAACTGCCAGAAGGTAAGTCAAGGGGATATCCAGTTTGTATAAAGATCTGCCAGACACAAAAGCATACAATGTTAATGCGGCGAGGGCAATAGAAGAAGGGAGGAGGGGTTCACGAAAAAGCAGACCTCAGGATTCTTCTCCATTTCTTTTGTGAGAGCTCCGATAGTCCCAGGATGCAGCCTCACATCATCGTCAAGAAACAAGACATACTTGGTATCCTTGTGCATCTTTTCAACACCGATCTGTTTCAGTTCATGAGTAATGAGTCAACTTATTGGGTTTTTTTGGTAAAAACAAAACAAGGCCAAGAGATGACCATATAGTAACCGCAGTAACAGTCAAAATGTGTGGCATTTGTTCATATTCAGTGTGACTATTCTCATGCTTTAGTTACTATAAAAGGTGAAGATGAATGATATGTAAAAGGCAAAAAAGCATATTGGAAACAAAGAGGAACACAATAGAATGGAATGTTTGAATGCATGCACATTCAACAGCTCCATTCCACGCGCTAGGAACATCTACAAGCATAAGCTAAAATGAGCATTCAGTGTCATGAACAGACGATGAAATAGACATAGAAGATGAAAACAAAGCCATTTACATACCAATTGATTGTGAATTTTCTGGCTACAGGTTGTTGACAACCCAGCCACAACCACCTTCGCCTCCAGATTGTCCTGAAAGTTATATCTAATAAGGTTACAATAGATGAAGAGTTTGAGAATATCACGACTGTAAACCTTATGAGGCAATCCACTTACCTTGTACTCTGCGATCAAACGGGAAACAGCATGATAAGCCGGATCGTCTTTGCTCTCTACGACAAACAGGAATTCCAATGGCCCCCCATAAAGTGATGTAATCTGTACTTTTATGGATTATAAAGGCACATAACAATCCAAGACATAAATGCCAATCATTATATATATAGTGCAGTTTGATCATACCTGACTTCGCCAATTTTGCAAATTATGTTCACCAAAGCCCTTCAAAGGCATAATTACAGAGACTCTAGGTAAATTCTCCTGAACAGAGTGCTCAAGCTCATCTATGTTGTCACAAAGAAATGCAAAACTATTTCCATCTACAATGTTGCGCCTCATGTTCTTTATAACCCTTTTTCTGGTAAGAGAGCATAGATTGTATAAGAAAATCAGCTGATCCATCCTTGTCAAATAAACCTAAAATCATAAAAATTCCTTTCTTCACCTGACAATTGAAGCAGCCACCCACCCGAGGGCAAGAACTAAACAGATCCCACACCCCTACATACAGGGGATAACCAGCACACAAACAAGAAGAGGTAGTAAGAAAAAATGCCAGTAAACTGAAAGAACCAAAAAGATATATGACGTCAAGCATTCAGAAGTTTTTTTTTGTTTAAAACAAGAAGTTCAAACTTTAAACTGAGACTACAAGATTAACACATGCCATATCCCTGTGAACATTCAAAATGTATACCAGAACGGTCAGGTATCCTACAGTTGGAGCACCTGCAGTAGCAGATAAGAAACGGAGGGGGACAATCTGAGATCGACAAAACTTGTCGGAACGGAACGAACAGAACTCCAAGCATATGCACCAATAGCTGTTACAGGTCTTGTGTGAAAAATTGCTGGCTTTTCAAACGTAGTAATCAAATTTATCCATCATCCCATCTCATTCAAAAGGGAACATATCTAGTGCAAACCAACCTCTCCGTACAAACCGTGCAAACCAACTGCGGGGGAGAGGTGGAAGGGGGCACCGCAGTTAGTTTGCACGGAGAGGTTGGTTTGCACTAGATACATTGCCCATTCAAAAAGCACAGTTAAGTGGTTTCTCCACTGTAGAACTTTCCAACATCCACAACACAGTTGCGCCGTCACAAAACTCTATGTAACTTCCTACTTGTGAGAGAACAGAATTGTAAGAAATCTCCGCCGGCCAAAACTATTCCTCAAAAACACCGCGCTTCCCGCAGCTCCCAGACAATTCCGCCCCGGCGTCCACAATGCGAAGGGCAGGGGACGGGGTCTCACCTGGATCTGAATGGCGATAGCGAAGGTGCTCGTGAAGGCGCAGCTCGCGGCGGCGAGCATAGCGTCGGCGGCGGCTTCCATCGCCGCCATTGCCCCCGACGTCCCCTCCCCTCCTTCGAGCCGCGGCGGGGCACCTTCCGAAGCTTCTAAGCGCTTCTGGAGAGGGGTGGGGGAGCAAGAGGCCGCGTTTCTCGCCGGATCTCTCTCCCGCCGGGCCTGGTCTGACCTGACCTTGGCGGTGAGAGAGTCTGATCGATGTGGGGGAGGAGGGAGGAGGGAGGGGGAAGGGGGTTGATTTGGGCTGGCTGGGTGGCCTCTGTGATTAGGGCCACGGCCCTGACTCCCAAAATGCTTCTGGTCACCCTGCTCCACATTTTTTGAATTGGGGTTGCTACGCGTACCAAACTGTAAACATTGCTCCGTCTGTTCTAATTATATGTCACTTTATTAATTTTATCATAATAAAATACACTTTTTAAAATTTAATTGTTTTTAAAAAATACACAAATATCGATAATATCAAATTTCCATTGAATTTTCCAAATTAAACATTTTTTTTAAATACACCAGCATCGTAATATCAAATTTCCATTGATTTTTCCATGGCATATCCGCATATGTGTTGATAGTGCATTTATTTAAAATTATATAATATGTTTTATAAGATAGTAAAAATAGAAAAAAGATTTACTCAGGATAAAACTAAGTGACTTGTACTTGTAAACGACCGAGTAGCCCGTTGTAATATCTTTCACAAGATTAATTATTGCTTATTTTTATGTTTTACTAGTTAAAGAATTACCAAGATTTCAAGAGAATTTTTATGTCTGGTTGATATTTAATTTGCAATACTCCCTATGTTCTTTACATATGACATGGACTACTTTAAAGTTGAACTAATCAACATCATGTATAAAGACATAGGAAGCTTCCGAGTGGTAATCTAACAATATATTAACATCTACGATGTCAAATACACTATCAAAATATATCATGGAGTAATCTAACAAAAAAAGTTTGATGTTGCAAATAAACTTAGGCATGTTTGTATTCATTATCTGCTAATAGTTAGCTGGCTAATAACCCACATCTAATATTAGCTAGCTAACTATTAGCTACCTATTAGGCATTAGCTGGAGCGTGTTTGGATGCACAGCTAATAAAAATGCTATTAAGATAACTATTAGTTGCTATTATCTGATTTGATTCAACTAGTGAGATAGTTATTATCTAGAGGTCCAGCTAACACTTAGTTATTTTATTAGTTGTACTTGTTTGGACATAAAAGAGAGAACTATTAGCAAATAGTATAGGAATCCAAACAAACCCTTAGCACAAAGTTGAAATGATTTATAATGAGCATTGCATGGAGGATGGTGCGAGGCCCTGCGTGCGCGTAGCAGGAGCAGCTGTTTGAGCCAAGAAAACAATCTACTCTGGGCTGGGACAGGGAGATGCCAGTGTAGTGTAGGGATGCGCATCTGTTCCACATTTCGCGTTGCCCAGCCAATCCCATCCCTTTCCGTTCCTCGCAAAACGGCCAAAACCCGTCGGGAAATTGGTTAAAGCTTGGTTTCATTGTCACTACAGCCTGTTCTGACGCTGCATTTGCCTGTTACTGCTGATCCCTGCTGGACCCAGCTAAATCCTCCCGGAAAGAAACGTCGCTCGCCTGGAATGACAGCAAAATCCTGGAAGTGCTTCTTTTCCTAATCCAAAGTTAGAACGTTCATCGATAATAAGATTTTGCATTCAGTGTCTTCTCTATCTATCAATAAAATTAGCATAATCTCATGATTATTAGTTTAAAAAAGACCTTTTTTATTCCAAAGTCATCAGAAATTTTTGGGGAAATAAAATAGCTAGCGCAATGTTTGGAACGCGAGAAAATTTTACGTTCCTATTTTTTTTCTGTGAAATTGAACTATAGATTACTACACCATTTGTGCAAAATTCTAGCGTTCCAACCATGCCCTAAACGAGCAACGTGATTTCTGAGAACCGATACATGCAGCATTGGCTGTGGGATCTGGGCATCGAGATTTCGGGATATTCCTCGTGATAGCACACTGTTCATCTGTTCTGGACTTCATGATTATGAGATGCAGGTTGTCCGCTGTCGTACTAAGAACTAATCTATAATACTGTAACAGCATATCTACAGCGCTGAACATAGGACATCGCCCATATAGAGTGTATCAGGCAGTTTTTAATTTGTCGATATTGCACAGGATTCATCAACTTTTGATTATTGTTTTTCTAGCTAACGAATCGAAAGGCTGAAGTTTCAGAATAGAGTATTGACAAAATTCTGAATAAACGACAGCTCAAAAAACTGATGCAAACTAGTTCTTCTCTGAAGAACTTCTGGAATTCCAAAAGCCAAACATGAGCTGCGATCTTTTAGGGAGAAAGGACAAGTGAGTCCAGCTCCTTTTTCAGTGTATCAAAGATTGCAGCAAAGCCAAGCAAGTCATTAAACTAATCTCGGATAGGAGTGGCAAGCAGCAGAGAGAGATTTGACTAATCAAAATGATTAACAGAGGAGAAACGGACGGGCAGGGCGGGCACACATCACGTGGGACGTGCCCATTGAAAAATTGGCGGCAGCAGCCAGCAGCTTAAGGTATCGTAGGGGAGTCTGCAACCAGAAAAGAACATGTCAGGGGGGTCTCCAGGGGGGCAACCTGTACCTGCATGTCAATATGTCATAATACAGCACCGCATTGAATTACGCTCTGCCAATCTGCCAAGATTGACCAGTGGAGCAAAGAAAAAATTGTGATCAGATCGGCAGCTTGATCCGAATTCTTTCTCGGCGTGCTAGTTCGTCCAATCCAGACTATAGGCTCTAGATGATCTAAACATGATGTCGAGAAAGAATTGCTAATAATTGGTAGCGGCTAATAATTGGCTCTAGATGATCTAAACATGACGTCTAACATGTAAACAGGGCCGAAGCTACACTGTCAATAGGGGTGCCCCCCCAATAAATATGTAGTTGCATGGTGATACATATCATGCTTCTATGTTAATAAAAACATATACTCTACATAGCTTTTGTTATACACTTGCATGTACACTTTTTCTAGAATCTAGATACACATATTAAAAGCAATTATCTAGAAAAGCTAAAACGTCTTATATTTTAGAATGGATGGAGTAGTACCTTGGGATACTTTTTATAATAGCAGGGTGGGTATTGATGTAGGTGGCTATTTTAGATTATATTTATTAATAATAGCGGTAGATAACTTTTAGATGAAGATCTATGGATCTCAAGTTCTAACTAGGACCGTACAGATCGACATTGTATCTAAAAAGAATGATAGTACGAAAAGTACTACCTCTGCCCAAAAAACATAGCATTTAAGTTTTTGTCTTAAGTCAAGCTATCAAGTTTCACCAAGTTTGTACAAAAAAATATTGATATTTAAATACTAAATAAGTATCATTAGATTTTTCATCAAGGAACATATCTTCATCAATGACCAATTTGATGTAGTAAATGTTGATAATCTTCTCTATGAACTTGATTAAACTTAAAAATAGTTGGACTTCGAAAAAACTAGAATGATAGGTTTTTAGGACAAATGTCGTAGTCTTTGAGACAATACTTATGAAAATTGTATGTTTCCTAACTAAATATCTAAAATAACTATTGAAGGTTGAACTTTTAGAGGTTCGACCGGATTTCAATTGAAACACAAAATATTTGTGATTGGATGGAGTATATATTTAAAGAATTACTTTAGATTATTTTCGTAATGGTAATGGCACAACACATTCTTTTTTACCTTTCTGTCTGAAAATACAATGCATGCATGTATTTCAAAAACCAAACATTGTTATTTTTGACCAACAATTAGTCTAATCATATGAAAAGTTTATACTACAAAATAGTTACATTTTATTTGTAAATACTCTCTAATGATCAAACTTTTATTACCATAAATAATACTCCCATACGGTAAAAAAATTAATGCAGTGTAATCTTAAAGATCGCACCAAGTAAAATTACATCTTATATTTTAGGACAGATGAAGTAATAAAGAATAGATAACGTGATTGGGTGGATATTTTTTTTTCTTGTATCTTGTAGAGTATATTTTAAACAGAGGAAGTAATAAAGAATAGATAACGTGACTAGTGACATAAGGATTGGTGGATATTTATCTTTTTTCTTTTAGAGTTTCTAGAAATTATCACTGCAGTGATCCTAACATCTGCAGGATGCTTTTAATAATCACCCTGTTCGCTTGATCGTTTATGTGGCTTATAAGCCGACTGATACTGTTTTGTTGTGAGAGTTATTGTGAGAGAAAAATATTATATCATAACTGATAAGCATGGCTGATACAATCATAACAGGTGAATGCTATACAAGTCAAAACAAGCTGACCTAAACCAGCACCGAGCGGCGAGCGCTGTTCGATCAGGTGGTAGCTCCTGTATGTGGTCAGATCCGTATCGCTGTCACGTTGTGCGTCTGGGCTAGACTGAGAGACCGCATGGACCCATGCATAGAGGAGCAGTAAACCATCCTGTCTGCCCTGTCCTGCGCTGCCCGGTTGGTGAACCCGAGGAACTCGGCTACGATTTGCCCCCGGTCACACATGCCCATGTGAGGCCTGCGTTGGCACCGCGCATGTGGCAGCAGCAGCAGTCCTGCCATCGCCGAAAACGAACCGCAAAACACAACACGACCCTCCCCGGTCACCATCACCACTCACTCACCACCCCATTTTGTGCTGAGGAAAAAGAAGCATTTTCACACGCTCAAAAGCGGCAGCTACCACAGAACAGGATTGAGCACTGCTGCACCTGCATGCCTGCATCCATGTCATGGCCTGCAGCTGCAAGATCCTATTCCTTCCCATGACTGAAGACAAACCACTTTCATCATCTTCCAAGCTCCATTGCCTGCAGGTGTTGCAGAACATCTCCACTGATTGAAGCAAAGGTTTCTCATTGCATCCCAGTCGCAGGTGGCATATGGTAGGTGGAGATCCCAAGGAGAAGATCTGAACGCATGCAGTACAGATAATAGTGCCATGTTATGTTACGCAATTTCGCTGGAATGGATGGGCCGGGGGAAACGGGAATAGGATGGATAAGTTGATCTGCAGATATGTATGATGTCTGAAATGTGTCATGTAGTAGTAGTATTTTGAATCCACCCTGAAGGTTTCGTGTCAGAATGTTAGGCAGAGTGAAGCACGAAAACATATTCAATGATTTATTGTGTAGCGAATATTCTTTTAGTAGGGTGCATATGCCGTTCTTGGATGCCAAGCATATCAGTCGCAGGAACGGTAATTAATACTGTGCCATCGACCATGGTGCCTTGCAGAAATTGCTAGGCTCGTGTCGTCCGAAGGACGTACTGAATGGACGGCCAACGAGGCAACGACGACGTCCTTCATCCCATCAAAAAGAAAAAAAATAAAGAAAAAGGATTGTACAATCACATGAGTACAGAATATTGACGTTTCATGCACAAAACCAGGGGGATTCTTATCTCATAGCTTAAACTATCTCAAAATCTCCATGCTACAACTGAGCTACCCGTTCTCCGCGGTATCGGGATAGCCTGGTCTGTCAAAATGGTTGTTATACACTGACGGTTAACAGTAAAGGTGTACACAGTGTGGAAAGAATTTCCTATATCTATGTGCACTGCATGAGGGGCGCCAACTATGAACACAAAACGAGCAACATTTTACGCGTTGAAGAGCTTGCGGAACGGCCCGTCCTTCCGATCTTTGGCCGCCTCCGTCAATGCAAGGAACCTCTTGAAACCCGTGGTTGCTGCTCCGCGCCCAAGCGCCGCAGCTCGGGCGAGAACATCCTCCTGGTTCGCCAGTGCTCCCTTCAAGGAGGCCATGCTTGGTGTTATTGAAACGGCTGGAGTTGACACCGAGGGTACTATCTGGACAGATGCTGTGGCAACAGGTGGCGTGACCGTGGGAGCAACGACAGGGTGTTTGATGGCGGGGGCTGGGGCAGGGGCGTGTTTGTTGAAGTCCTCCAGGATAGCTTGTTGGTCTGCTTTCTTCAAGCCCTGTGACAGTCAATAACAACAGAAGCAAACAATTGAGTGTCAGATTAGCCTGGGAGGTTGAAGTTGGCATACAAAAGAGGCCAATTTTTAATGTAAAAACCTTGAGGTCAAGTATCCGCTGAAACTCAAGAGGCGTGCCTTCGGGGAGGAGCGCACGGTATGTGTTAGCAACAGAATCAACTGGTGACAAAATGACCTGCATGAAGTTATGTCATCAGGTTGATACTACCTGGTGGTAATCATTCAGCAAAGTGCCTTTCAGCAATCATTACAGCATTCTCCCAAATTTACCTTAAGTAGTGCTTCGGCTTTACTCATTTCCCGGCTGACAAACTTTGAGTAGCTAGCTGCACCTGTGCTCTGTAACACACAATGCAAGGAAGCCACATTTAAGATTTTGAGATACCATAACTTAAAAATATATCTTCTCGTTAGGACTGCAATCCAGCATAAACTACAAATCTGCTGCATTAGCAACCTATGTACATAAGAATCAGACCATTTTAGCTGAACATGCACACTTTCCAGCACTAGATTTCATTCCAGACTCAAGAATACATGAAACAGAAGAACTAGTCCACATAGACTGGTAGCCAATATAAAGGCGTATACAATTGTAGATATTAAAACATGTAGACAATTGTTCAGATTAGAAGGTTACCTGTTTTCCAAGAGCTGGGATGTCTAGGAGAATAGTCTTGACAGCTTGGGTGTCCAAAAGCATCTTGGGGGGGGCAAAATGCAAAGCAATGAGAGAAGTCCGAATAAGTAGTCAATAAAACAAAATTAGCTTCACATGGCATTTAACATGTACCTGCTGGGCACCAGTTTCTGATATATGTTTGCACTTGTATATGTTGAGATAAAACCGAGGACCAAGAGAGGCTGCAAGCTGGATTAGAACAAACAAACAAAGTATAATTGACCATGCTGACAGCCAATATGTAGTTCACAACGATGAAAGGCATGTGATATTTTATCTTATTACAAAGATGAATAATGAACTTACTTTGTCCAGGAAATACTGGAAGTAAGTAGGTGAAAGCAGGGTACCAAGCACAGGAATACTACTTGACAGAATAGAGCTGATACCATTCACATATCTGGCACGCAAGAGTGAATCTTATTAGATATTTATATAATTGAAAATGTTGACGAATATTTTTGTCTGATCTGAAAATTTTGCAAGGCAAATAATGCCTATAAAGCAAATTGGATGTAACTTTTAAAAATAAAGAACATGACGGTGGTGCCAAAAAAATTCAAAGATTCTTACTAAAAGAAACTCAAAGATCTGTTCAACGTGCAATGCCATTTTTGCGTGCTCACATGCTAATAAATGACATTTCAATGTACTATAACCCTGCACCCCCAACCAAACTCCACCTGAACCTGTTCAGTCCAGCAATCCACCATTTGAATTAGTGTATAATATGCAGGCTCTTATAAGATAGTTCCGAGTTAGCAGTCCAAAGTGAATCATATCCTATCTCCTTTCCAGTAGAAAGACATTAACAACACCACAGCTACAAAAATGCACGACATCATTGCTACAATATGACATGTGACAGACTCCAATATTATAACATTTCTCATCAAGGACGTGGACTAAAGCGTATGGCCAGTAGTCCTTTTGAGCTTCAAAGCACACAGAATGAATATCAGCAAAGGATGCAACAGAATAACATAGGGGATCCAGTAAAATCTTACTCTGATTGATCACCAACGCTTTCAAGGGTAGCCCATGGAACACGAGTCATTGCAACCATTTCAGAATCAAATTTGGTTTCAAGTCCGTGAACAAGAGTCATTAATGCTTTTGTGATCATGGCCGAGAATTCATCCTGCAAGTATTGAAGTGTCGAGGCCTTCTCTCCAACAGTAACATAAATAAAATATTCACATAAGTTAGGGACAAAAACAATAAAAGATCAGTCACCTGAACTTCAGACATGTCCACCTTGTCAGCAAACTGAGGGTTAATCATCTTAGCAACATTCTCAGCTAGTTCACCGGACTGTAAAATTTATAGAGAAAGCTAAAAGTCAGTTTGAGAGGAACTTGGTCACAAATGCATGCATGCCACACACAAGGAAAAGTAGCCTCATGCGACAACCAATAAACTTAAGCACTAGATGCCACAAACTATTGAGCTTCTCATCTCCAGTGCCTCCATTCACAACCCAGATTCAGGGGGAGGTCTTACATTAAGGAACTAAGTAAGTGGTGCCCATGGAAAAATGTGGTAGTACATAAATCTGGGTACTTGATTATAAAGAACGGCAGGCCAGGATGCAAGAAGTCTGAAAAGATGAAGATGCACAAGGTGGTGAATTTAAATTATTCTAATTTCTATTATTCTTGACGCCCAAAGTGTCATTTTATGAACTAATCAGTGTTAACAGTAGCATATCTCAAAGAGGCTTGCTTATAGTAGCACTTGCAAGCGGACTATGGAATACAAATGAAGTGGCATAGGTCCGCAAGTATTCAGTGAAGAACAGAAATGGCCTCATAATTTGATTACGTCATTTTCTGATATTTTGCTTCTGTCGAGCATGAGAGAAGTAATCAACAATATGTTTCCTTCTACATCAGGCTACCATAATACTTAAGGGCAAGTTGCCTTACTGTCTGGTGACAATATTCAGCAGTGTTGACAATGTAGCATATCATTCTCTCGTCCCTGTCCGAGGTCTGCAGTAATGTAAAAAGGACATAAATTGCTGTCAAACAAATGAGAAAAACAAGAGTGGTTCAGTTGTGATCATTGTACCCTGATCTGCCCATCGGCACCAGTGGCAGCTGCAACAATACCAGTTCCACCTTTTGGTAATCTGGCATATAACTTAGTCGCATAGGCCTTGAGTATTCTTTGAAATACCTAGCAAAAATAGAGGGCAAACAGTTATGAGCCCCATTCAGAGGCTAAACTTTATTGGCGCTGATAGAGTAAAAAAATATATTAGTGATTAGCACATTGAAGGTCAAACTTCATTGGCTTTGATAATCGTATAAATCTAAACATTAACAATCATAATAAATATGTGCACAAATAACATCTAATATTAGATAGGCAGTTTTCAGTCTACATAGTTACTAACCCAGACTAACACATTCATGTGAATGGAAAATTTCATTTCATATTGCTTGTGCTAGTGCAAGGGTTGAACTGTTGAGCATGGTGCATTTTTCCTTCTGTAGGAATGCTTACTGCCCTGTAGCTTCTCACTGATGCATAAAGCTCAGTAGCAAAGATAGTAAACAAGAAAAGGTGATACTGGATACAAAACCAGTAGCACTGGATGCCAGTTTAGGAAATACAATCATGAGGCCACCTATTGTTATGCCCAAAATAAACTTTTAGAGTCTTAGAAGAGTAAATTATTGGATTTATCAATGGGTCTGTTCAAAGAGGCATCAGAGTATCAGTCAAGCTCGTTAAAGTGACAGAGACAAACTATCAAGAAGTATATAAACAGTAAGTAGATTAGAAATAGTCAATTGCATGAGCAACACACATCAAGGAACCATTTGTGTTCATGTTATTATTATACAATTTAAGGGAATTTTCATGATCTGAGATATTTGTGAGTATATTCATATTTGATTAATATCCATTCCATTTGATATTTGATGCAAGGTGTTCCTATTTCTTTCCGATACCAGCATCTGGGGAAAAATCTGAAAGCAAACATTGTAGCCCGTACACAGCAAACAAGGAAATGTACATAAATGGGAAAACTGCCTACTTGAAATAAGTTGAACAATGTTTGGTTCTTTGTCAATGCGCTGCACCGCTTTAAGCTTTTTCTGATCACCAAGAAAACCTGCATAGGTGAAATTGTAAACCAATTAAGAAGGTCTTTTTGTAGATTTGCGGGGCACAAAATGGTGAGTAAAGGCAAACTTTGAAGATCTACTGATCAGCCTAACTTGGGGGGTGTGCAACCGAACTACCCACTTATAGAATTATTATCTACCTGCATGCTGCTTGATAGAATGTTTGTTTGACTTCCTTCCTCTGTTTCCCATCTTTCTTCCTGGCGAATAGAAGGATGAGCTCAAGGTACAGAGACCTCAAGTACAATGGTTGCAATTATATTTATGTTGTGTGTACCTGGACAAGTTTTTCTAATTGATCCACTAAAGATTTTTCCTCAAGTTCAATGTACACAGTCATATACGGTTCAAAACAAGAAGATATGATCCCGTGGAAGTTGAACTGCAAGAACAACAGGCCAAAGTCATCACAGAAACTTTTGGAAACACTAGTAAGTATGCACAGCACAATAGCTCATATAACACTAACCCCAGCACGGGAACCGACAAATCTTTCTGCTTGTCCTGCCAGTAAGGAGATGCTAGAAGAGTTGTAAAATATATAATAAATAAAATGAAAATGGGGTTAAAATTAAACGGCAGATACTTGTTCAGCTTCATCACTGGGTCCTGCCAGTTTCTTCTCATATTTCTTCCGTATGTCTGAAACAATTTTATTGTGTTCCCCGCCCTCATCTTCGTCATCACTTGCTGTCTCTTTATTTCTAGCATTAATTGAGTTCCACCACTGAATTTCTCTGCCAATTCTTCCTCAAACTCAAGGGTTCTCTGGGCACGCCTGCATTGCAAGTATCTCAAAATGTTCATTACAGATGTTCCACATGGCAAATGGATGAGCTCACATGCTCAACTCAAATAACTAAACATTTCAGAGATATCTCTATCGCTTCAATAATTGTAATGCAACAACATCATGAAGTACATAAATTTTGTTTGTTTTCTTGATCATTTGTTATTTTACAGGGAATGGAAGATCTGATGAGAAATGGGCCTTGAAGCAAAATAAGAATACTAAAAAAAATTACCTAAAGACCTAGAAACAGAAAGTAGGCTATAAAATATCTCGAATAAGGAGGAATTACCAATAACAAAGTTGCCACATCTGGTTTTTCTTTGAGATTATTAAGGATATCAACAAGCTGAGCCCTGAAAAGAAGAATTTTCACCGGTAAATTGACTGGTAAGGTGGAAGATGTTAGTCGCTGAATTCTCACTAGTTGTTAGTCGCTGAATTCTCACTCTTGGTAGTAGGAGAATTCTTACTCTCATCGAGAGAGGATGACACTAGGAGTTGGGGTAATTTTCTTGTCTATTTCTCACACAAACTCACACAAATGCCATACCAACCTGAGGGGTTGGGGTTACATATTTATAGGCTACTAGACAGCCAAGCATATGTCAAGATGCTAGTTTAAGATGCTAGTCTAAGATGCTAATATGCTGTCCTAGCTAAGATGCTGTCCTCTAAGATGTTGTCCTCTAGTCTAAGATGCTGTCCTAAAAACAGAAAAACAGCCACAAGGACCATGTGAGCAGCACAGCCCCACAAAGACCAGCCACATATGAGACTTATCCATCATTCTCCCCCTAAGTCTTGTGCGTCGTCTCGTGGGAGAGTTGAACCATCCCGGTCCTGGAGCAGAGCTCAAGGAACTTGATCCTCCCAAGGGGCTTGGTGAGCAGGTCCGCAAGCTGGTCCTTGGTGTTGATGTAGCTCGCCTTGATGCTCCCTTCCTCCAAACATCCTCGGATGAAGTGGTACCTCACCCGGATGTGCTTGCTGCGTTCGTGGAACACGGGTTCTTTGCCGGGGCAGGCGGACTTGTTGTCCACCACAGCTCCACCGCTCTAGTGTCTCTCGCCGAGGAGATCACCAAGCGATTGAGCGAGCAGGCGCTGAGTCGAGCGGTGGAGGCCGTTATGTACTCGGCCTCGCAACCGGACAGGCCACCACCGCTACTTGACCGACTACCACTTAACGAGGCACTTGCCGAGGAAGAAGAGATCCCGCTCGTGCTCTTCTTTGGTGTGTCGATGTCGCCGGCGTGGTCGCCGTCATTGCATGCCCAACGAAGTGTGCCGCCCCTGTGGCACCTCGGGTAGTAGAGGCCGTGGTCGAGAGTCCCCGCAACGAGCGTGGCGGATGATCCTCTTCACAACTGTTGGTGCTCCGTCGTCGGTCATTTGCATGAACCGACTAACGTGGCCGACGGAGAATGCCAAGTCCGGCCAGTGTGGGGCGAGGTAGCGAAGGCTCCCCACAAGACGCCGATCTTTGCGTGGCGTCCACCTCCTCCGTCGTCTTTGTCGCAGCTCGACCCTCTCCTCTCCTCCATCGGAGTGAGAGCTGGTTGCAATCGGTGAGCCCAAATTTAGCTCAACGACGCGCTTAGCGTGGCGGTGCATCGTCAAGCGTGATCCCGTGAGTCATCCCGGTGCACCTCGATTCCCGTAGAAGGAGAGGGCCCTGTGTCACTCATCTGGAAGGTGGCCTTCATCTCTTCCTTGAATGCCGCCACCTCCACATCCTTGGTGTCGGTAATCACCAAGTCGTCCGACGTGAACACCCACCGGCAGGGGCATTTCCTCCATTGCCCGTCGGTAGATGGCACCGCCTCGTCGCGGCTTTTGCTCAAGCCCATCCCTTTAGCGTGGAATCAACTTGGCATTCCACGCCCTCGCGTACCGCCGCCAAGCCATAGAGGGCCTTGCGCAGCGGAGTACCTGCCCCCTTTGGCAGGGGATCGCAAAATCCCGGCGGCTGGTGCACGTAGACCTCCTTCAAGTCGCCGTTAAGGAACGCCGACTTGACGTCCATGTGATGAACGCGCCAGCCCTCCAGGCGACTAAGCGCAAGGAGGAGTCGCCGCGGACTCCATCTCGTGCCCGCGAGAGCAAAGGCGTCGTCGAAGTCGACCCCCTCCTGCTGCACGAAACCTCGTGCCACCAAGCGAGCCTTGTGCTTGACGATGGCACCGGCTTCATCCCTCTTCAGCTTGTACACCCACTTAAGGGTGATCGCGCGGTGGCCACGAGGAAGGTCAGCAAGCTCCCAGGTGCGGTTCTTCTCAACCGCATCCATCTCCAACTGCATCGCGGCGCGCCATGCCTCGTGTCTCTCGGCCTCTGCGAACGACCGAGGCTCGCCGTCGTCACATGCAAGGTGCAACTGCGCCTCCAGGTCCTCCAGGTCGTGAGGCACCAGTCCCGGCACCAACTGGTCGCCGAGAAGGTTCTCCATCGTACGGTACCGCAACGGCTCGCCGTCGTGGTACGCGTCGATGCGCTCCTCGTCGTGAGAGAGCGGAGTAGCGAGCTCAACCGGGCTGTGCTCGACACGAGCTGGTGTTGGAGTAGACGTGCCCGGAGAGGTGCCTGCTTGCGGTCTTTGAGTGCGTGGCGCTGCTTACCGTGGTGAAGCCGCCGAAGAACTCATCGCAGACCAAGGTCCCGGCCGGAGCGCGTGGTCTTTGTCTTTGAGTAGCAGGCGCCGGTCGGTGGAGGCTCGTGGATCGGGTAGACGCGCTGCCGAAGAAGAGCGCCTACTCCCCAGCTCCCTCGAAGTGGGCGTACTCGACAAAGTGAAGTCCGTCGCGTCGGGCCGAGCCATCGCCCACCGCTTTGTCCCACGCCCATCCTCGCCTTTTCGTCGAACACAACGTCGTGCGCGTGCGGCGCACACGCCGTGTCTTCGTCGAGAGATGCGGTAGGCCTTCGAGCCCTCCGCGTGGCCGATGAACACTCCGGAGTGCTCCTGTCGCCGTCGAGCTTGCCGATGTGGCCAAGCTCCTTGGCGAACGCGCGAGGCGGCCAAGACCCGCAAGTGGGAGACCGCCGGCTTGCGCCATGCCAAGCCTCGTCGGCGTCCTGCGCCGGCGCCTTAGTAAGCGGCGGTTGAGGATGTGACGGCCCGTCACCACCGCCTTTCTCCCGAAGAGGCCAGCATCCCCATCTCTGCTTGAGGAGGGCCTGAGCCATCCCCACAACCGTCTGTTGCGCTGCTCGACGACGCCGTTCTGCTGCTGCGGCTGTCTGGCGCGAGTAGTGGCGTGAATACTCCCTCATCGGCGCATGATGACGCGCAATTCACCGCCGTGAATTCGCCGCCGTTGTCGGTGCGCAGCACGCGCAGCCTTATGCGGCGCGATCCGCCTCCGACGACTGCCTGCAAGGCTACCGATGGCGTCCGCAGCCTCTCCTTGCTTGCCGAGGATCATCACCCACATGTAGCGGGAGAAGTCGTCGACGGCGGCGCAGGAAGTAGCGTCGTTCTCCCGGTGTGGCCGGGTGTCACCGGGCCACACAGAAGTCCCGTCTGCACGAGCTCGAGCCTCTCCTTGGCTCGAAAGCTCGCCCATTGAGAAAGGGGAGTCGCCTGCTTCGTCAACACGCAGACGCCGCAGAGCTGCTCCCACATGGTCGAGGCACGGCGGGCCTCGCACCATCTCCATGGCACTAAGCCGCTTGGGGCCTCGAAGTGAAGGTGCCGAAACACTCGTACATCGCCACGCCTCGTCGTCCCGACGAAGCGGCGAGACAGAGGGGTTGTGCCACCTGCGTTAACGTAGAGTCGATTTGGCGCTCGGATACCTTGGCAAGAAGGCGGCGACGGCGATCCCAAATCCTCATGACTCCATCCTCAACCACCACGCGAACCGTTTCTCATCCGGTTGTCCCAAGCCGATGATGGAGTTCCTCAACGCGGGATGTAGTAGACTCGGTGGCGTACTGCGCTCACCGAACACGGCGGTGAAGATGATGGAGCCGACGCCCTTGATCTCCACGCCGAGGCATCCCCAAACTTGACGGAGCCTCGGGACGCTAGAGTCAAGCTTCGGTGAAGAACTCCGTCGACCGGTCATGTGATGGGTGGCGCCAATGTCGAGGCACCACCCGTCCGGCCTTGTCGTTCTTCGGAGCTGCCGCCGAGGAGGCGTGTGCTTTGGCTCGTCAAGGTGGAGGAGAGCAGCTGCGGCAGGTCTTGGAGGTAGCTTCGATCTTGGCATGTGCCATGAACAGAGCCGGCTCCTCCTCCGCCGCTTTGTCTGGCGTGGGCTGGCTGCGTCGTGGTATCGCGATCCTTGGCCCAATGGCCAAAGCCGGCGCGCGATTCTGGCGGTGTCGCCTCGTCTTGGCTTGTACTGCCGCTGGCGCGCGCCTCAAGCGCCTCGCGGGCATCACCCTCGGCACGTCCTCGCGCCTGGCTTAGCGTCTCTTCGCTTTGCCGCAGCTTGCCACGCTTATGCCGCTGTCATCGGAAGAAGGCTCCCCTTCCTCCGGTCACCTTGGTGGCAAGCCACCGCTCCCTCGAGTGAGGAGCTTCCCGCCCGATGGTGATGGGCCCCGAGAGGCTCAGGCTCATCATCGGCCGTCGACAACCTTGAGGCGACCTATCGCCTCCTCGATCGACATCGTGGAGAGATCCGATAGAGACTTCGATCGGCGAGCCATCTACTTGTACTTCTCGGGGACGCAGCGGAAGAGCTTTTCGAATGACTCTCTCCTCGCCGTAGGTGTCGTCGCCGAATCGCACCATCTTCGCAGCAGTGTTGAGACGGAGAGCAAAGTCATCAACGTCCTCACCGGCTTGAAGGCGTGTTCTCCCACTCCTTGGCGAAGTGCACGTAGTGTGGACTTCGCGCGATCGGCTGCCGATCTGGCGTCTTGCCGCGATGGCGCCCCAAGCCTCCTTGGCGATCCGCTTAGTCGGTAGCGAAACTGCATCTCGGGCGGGGCTGCAGCGATGAGAGCATCCAGGCGCCCGTCGATCTAGGTCGTAGTCGACATCGCCGTCTCGGACCGCCTCCCACATGTGCCGCACTGGAGCTTTACCCTCATCACCGCAGCCCCACTCGACGTGGTTGGTCTTGGTGAGGGTAGGCCACACCACCGCCGGACCGGCGTCCCCGATAATGTACTGGAGCCCGTGGTAACCACGGTACCGATCCGGGAGAGAGAGCCACGCCGCCTGCACCGAAGGCCGCGCTCTCCATCGACCCGTCGATGCACCGATCCGGGGAGAGAGCCACGCGGCCTTGTGAAGGCCGCGCTCCATCGACCCGTCCGCCACCGTTGCCGTCGTGCCTCCTCCAGAAGCGCCACCGCGCGTCCGCTGCTGTCTGGCTGCCGCCCGGCGCTTTCGTGGCGTCTGCTTGCTGCCCAGCGCCACCACCGCGCCGCGCCTCCTCCTCGAGCGCCGCCAGAGCGTCGCGCTGTCGGCTGCCGCCACGCTTTCGTGGCGTCGCGCTACCATCTTCGCCCGCCCAGCGCTCGCCCTGCCTCCCTCTCTAGCGACTCGAGGTCGCGTCGGCCGGTGTCGTCGCCGAAATGGGCTGCCGATCTTTGCAGTATGAAACCTCGACCTCCATTGCCGCCGCCAGACGCCTTGCGTGATTCGCCGCCACTGCCTTCGCCCGCTCAAGCCGCCGCTGCTCCGCGCCAGCCAACCGTTGATCTCTGCCGCTACTTCCTTCGCGTTCCTGCTGGCGGCAAGTTCGGCCTCCTGACGCCCTTGGCGTGCTCGAGGCGACCGAAGCCGAGATCGCCTGCGGACATGACGCGCTTCTGGGGGGCTGCTGCGTGGGGATGGTTGCCGAACGAGGCCGCTTTGCTTTCGTTCTGCGCGAGGAGGAGTGAGCGAGGCGGCCGGGCTGCTTTGCCTTTTCGCGGGGGAAATTTGTTAATGGTGGGAGGAGATGATGCGAGAGATGCTCAAAGGACTCTGAGGATAATCTGGCTTTGATACCAGGTTGTTAGTCAATTGAATTCTCACTAGTTGTTAGTCGCTGAATTCTCACTCTTGGTAGTAGGAGAATTCTTACTCTCATCGAGAGAGGATGAAACTAGGAGTTGGGGCAATTTTCTTGTCTATTTCTCACACAAACTCACACAAAATGTCATACCAACACAGGGGTTGGGGTTACATATTTATAGGCTGCTAGCCAGCCAAGCATATGCCAAGATGTTAGTCTAAGATGCTAATATGCTGTCCTAGCTAAGATGTTGTCCTCTAGTCTAAGATGTTGTCCTCTAAGATGCTGTCCTCTAGTCTAAGATGCTGTCCTAAAAACAGAAAAAACAGCCACAAGGACCATGTGAGCAGCACATTTCACAAAGACCAAACCACATGAGACTTATCCATCGAGAAGATAAGAAATGACCATTATGTTATAAGATAAATTTACAGCTAAGGGGGTAAAGAGATAGTTAAAGAAGACCAAATCATTCAAAACAAGTACTGATATAATGCATCAAACAAGAAGCAAAATAAACTGAAAATGATGTTTAAGTTCTATGTGATCTTAGTTTGGGGCAAGACCATTAATTGCAAAACTAGATAAGGCGAAATCAAACCTTGTAATCTTACAGAACTGGATACACAGCAGATAGTCGACATGCCAGGAAGGTGGAAATATTTTCCAGGTATCTTCATTTGACCTTAGTCGACGTTTAATCCACGCATATCTTCTTTCGGTCTTGTCTAATTTGGCAAGTTCTGATTTTTGTAAGAAGTATCAAAATAACAGTGAACAAGGGGAGTCAGTAAATTGATACTAAAATTACACAAACAAGACTGATATATGTAGCATATACAAGGTCAAACCTGCTCCCTCAAAGATCTGCCTATATGAGGTGAGTTCCTTGCTGCAAAAGTTCTTCACTAGTTCTTCCCTTACAGATGGCTCCAATGCATCAACCACCAAGCAAGCATCAGATAGCTGCTGTAATAGCATGGGATCTTCTGTTTCCTTCCCAGTTCCTAAGCTGAAAAATATAAATTACTGGGTCTATTTCACCGTACGAAGTAATAGGCATAACAACAGACAACTGAATAAAACATTGAATTGATCTTTTGTGTGTTCGAGAAAAAGATAAAAAACTGAATTGCTTGATTGTCTTACAATTGCCCAGGCGCATAACATGCTCTGGGAGGCTGGGTTCCCAAACTATTCTTTACCAGCGAAGAACAGTATTTTGTAAACCAAGCTATTTAGGGAACAGATATTACATTGTTCAGAGGATGCAAAAGACCAGATCCTCTTTACGTTATCAAGATATTACATTGTTTTTAAAACAGGTTTATCAGGCTGTGTATGAGGCCCATATAGAAGAAACCCGTCCCCTACCTGTTACCGTCTTACAATTGACCAGGCACGTAACATCTCTAGGAGGATGGGTTCCCAAACTGTTTGTTACCAGCGGGGAACAATATTTTGTAAACCAAGCTATTTAGGGAACAGATATTACATTGTTCAGAGGATGCAAAAGACCGGATCCCTCTTTACATTATCAAGATATTACATTGTTTTAAAACAGGTCTACCAGGCTGTGTATGAGGCCCATATAGAAGAAAATGGTCCCCTGCCTGTTACTAGATGATTGCTGCCAAGCCGAAAAGGTTGTACAGTCATTACTACGTGTGTGACCGAAAAGATGTTATTGATTTAGAACTTCAATTACACATGTTCCTGGATCACCTGTTTTGAGCTGACACATGGACTCAAATTGTCATTTTCTTAGTTTCCTGTTCAGGAATTAGCCAGAAACTGGTAGTGCCACTAACAGGTATTAGCCTGGTATCTTTTCCACAATGACCAAAAAGTCTAATTGTTATATACCTTGAAAAATCTGAAAATACATGAGATTTGAGGATTTTCTTGATATTCTTGAATTTCTCTCTCAGCTCTGTTATCTTGGGCACATCTCTATAGGCTTCAAAATGACTGCATAGTTGGTTCACTGCCTGGAACAGAGTTAGAAATTGGTTGGAAATCATGTGCAGAATCATTGAAAACAATAACTACAAGTGTTAAAATATTTCAGACATTGAAATCATTTCTAGAGTTTTACAGGTTTATCAGCTAATTAAATCATTCTTACCTCCAGCTGTGCAGCTGCTTCTTTATATTGCCGTTTTGATGCCATAACCTGAAGTTGCTCAACAGCCAAAACTGTACATAAGTTAACACGATTTAGATGAGGTTGATGTCCTTTGCTATTCCACAACACAGAAAGAGAGGGAGGGAGGGAAACTAACCAAGCATAGTAAGACGGTGAAGAGCGGTTATTGTAGTTGTTATGTGCCTCTTAGCGCAATCCAACTTTTTGATGTCGCGACAGATTTCTTGAACCATAGTTTCACTTTGTTCAGCCTTTGTTTTTATTTCATGTATCTTGTGCATTAATTCCTGTTAGTACCAAATTTGATCAGAACCTTGTTTTTATTTCACTTGTAATGCACTATTAATTGCTGCAACAAATGCAGAAACCAGTTTGTTTTACTAATCCAGTTATATGACCAGGCAGCAGGCACGATGCTTAATCAACTGATACAATAGCTTTATAGTGAGAAATCTTAATAGTGCATAACAAGTGAAAAAAAAAATCGACCTGAACAGCATTTGTTGCAGCAGCAAGTTCTTCCTTGGCCTTGGTTCCCGAGTTGCTCTGTTAAGTAAAACATTCTTCCCATTATCCAGTGCAGCATAACAATGAGCAAAAGCATAATTTCATTTGGAGCAATTGCATTGACATAGCACTGATCAAATTATGAGACACGTCAGTTTGGTCAGTTCAGTTTAACTGTTCCAGAACAAAGAGTGCACACATTACAAATAGCATCACTGCATGACACAGAACGTGGGACAAGGAGGCCAAACCTGCTGTCGGACAGCGGCGAGGATGCTAGCGTCCACTCGGCGAATCTCACTCTGTATCTTTTGCATCAGCGGCTCCACGCCCGACAACGACGCCTCTGCAGGTCACCGGAAAACCAGAAGCAAATTGTTACCCTAGGAGCTCCGAACAACAGCACGGCTGAAATGAGTGCATTGCCGCAGCACAGCATCACGAGCAAAGTCCCCGTGCGAGCGAGGAAACACCGATTCGATTCGAGCGGGAGCGTGCGTACCTGTGGGGAACATCTGGTTGATGTATTCGAGAGCGCTGGACTTGTCCATTTCTCCGGCGAGATCTCCGCCCCGCGCGTCCGCGCTCGGAGGATCTGGTGAGGCCTAGAAGGATCTGGAAGGGGAGGGCGGTGCGGAGGAGCTGATCTGGCGGGAACGGGCGTCAGTCTGCCCCTCGCCTTCGCGAGGGGAGGAGGTGGAATCGCCGGCGGGTACTCGCCGTCGTCGGCAGCTCGGCCGTTCAACGGGTGGCGCCCAGACCCAGCTGATGGTTTATGAGTCGGTTGCTGCCCGCGGAGTCCAATAGCCCGCTTCCTATCCTAGTCCTATGTATGAAGTGTTCACTCGTTACCTGCCGTTTAACACACTCTAATTCTTATTAGAACTTTTATGTTGAAGACTCAAAACTTTCATGACAATCTGGTCTTCCAATTTGATAGATTGAATTTTCAATTTGGCGGTGGTACAAAGTAAAGAAAATCATGAACAGTTATGAAGGAATGATCTTGAACAACTAGTAACTAGTGGACAACTCACAAGAAATCATTCATGCTTTTTATAGCCAAACAATAATAAAATTACATGTTACTTGAACAACAACAACAACAAAAATCAAGCATATAACATATAGGAGAAATGAACAATTATTGGCTACTAAATATTTGAGCTATATTTTTTTATTAGAACTTTTAAATTTAATTCTCACTGTATTTTGATCTAACCTCAAACTCTAATGGGTGTTGCTATACTTCCAAGTCATCTCTTAAAATAAATTATAAATTGTTAATCAGTTAACGTCTCCATTTTTATACACTCGTAGGACGCCCTTTTAATTCCAAAGTGGAATTGCTGCCAAATTGAGGTTTAGATGGAGTTAACGTCTTTTCATGCACAGAACCATAAGTTGCTCTCTGAAACACTGTTTTTTTTTTACGGAACACTGAACCTATAACATGCACATGCTCAACTTGGAGTATACTTCAAGTTGGAGTATATTTATTTATTTATTTATATACATCAGCTAAGGGAAGTCGGTCACATACAGGGTTGTTACAGGCTTACATCGAAATTTAACTACACATGAACTTCAAAATCTGGGCCCTTCCTGCCCCGATGCCGTCACAGCTACTTCGGAGCCTGAGCAGCTTCAAAATCAGGGGCAGCCCCTCGGCCAAAACCAACTGCCGTCTTAGAAGCTGCACTTCTGAAACCTTTGAGCAGTAGTGCATTACAGAAGCACCAAGCATCAAATTTGAATTGCCCCTTGAGACACTTCAGAACAGAGATTTGGTGACCACGCTTCCGTGTCTGAACTCTGAGGCTCCAGTGGAAATTTTCTTAGGAGTTAGGTCTTCTCTTGTAGTCTTGTTCTACTGTTTCTTAGACAATGCAAGGACTTTTGACAAGTTCGATTTGGCCGCATCAAGTAGGGGATCAGATTGCAGAGCTTTCTCAAAACAGCTTCTAGCATCCTCCCAACGGCCCTCAGCGACAAATACAAGACCCAGGTTATTGCTGGCTGGTGCATATCCAGGACACAAATCCAACGACCTTAATAACATCTTCCTTGCAAATTCATAGTTCCTATGCTGCCGATAAAGAATTCCAAGATTAGAGAAGATTGCGTGCAGCTGCTGAGTTGATGATTTTACCAGTGCCCGCTTATATACAGTTTCAGAGGATGGATCATCTGATAGTTGCAACGCGATACCTGCAGAAACAGGAAATTATTCTCAGACAGTGATTATACTGTGCATACTCATTACTTCATTTGATAAATTGCACAAAAACAGACTATTCCACCAAATAAAGGATAGAAGTTCCATTATTGAGATGAAAGGCATGGGGAACTTCTACGACTAATTAGATGAATTGGTAAATTAGGAAATTGTTGGGGCTTGAACAAGATAGATATATTAAACAAATCATTTTTAAACATTTCCCATTGGCCAAACATAAAACATCAGTCTCCTAGCAAAAACAAAACATATTTATAGAATAGTTTAGAACTTGCGATTAATAGTAAATAATCTTCGTGCAAGAAAAGGCTCAGATAAGTTTAATGTTGTTCAGTTCTACTAAATTTTGAATCAAGAAAAAAGGACTCAAGTGAGCCCAAAACTTACCAAGATTCGACCAAGCATAACTGCAATCTGGGGAACGAGCTAAAGCTGCTTTAAGAAAATTTACAGACCTGCTGAACCGGGTCATGCAAATATTGTACAGGCCAAGTTGATGCCATTGAACAGCATCATCTGGGTCCTCTTGGATTGCCTGTAATAGAATTTCAAAAATAATAATGTTTATTTCGTTACTTTCCCATGTCCATGTTTTGCACTTGCCAATCAGATTGATGAGAATGAATTCAGTTCTGCTAATAGTTTGCAAAGCATCACCTGTTTTAGTGTATATTGAGCTCGCTCTTCTGCATCATTAAGATTGATGTTTTCGGTATCGTAGGTGGCTGCAATTTCATGTTGTGCCCTATGAGCCATTGCCAACCCAGCCCATGCAATTGGGGCATCAACTGCAGAAGGATCTCCTTCTTTTAGAACTGTTGCCATTTCATTTGTAGCCCAAAGAAGTTGATCATCAGAACATTGTGACCTTACAGCGTCTCTGATACGGTGAGCTGCAATAGCATACCGAGCAGGCATATGATTGGGTTCCAATTTTGCTGCCTGCAAAGCATACCGCATAAAAAGAATATAAGAAAAGTTTGTCACATACTTACTTTTCCCACAGCGAGTACAGAGTTTTCTGGCATATTTACCAGAGCAGAAGGAAAGTAATGAACGGTACTATATAGTTAGTAATGGACAGTAGTGACTGGTGAGTCTGGAATAAAACTGAGTGCTAGACAAGCAATTTTCAAGTTGACTGGCCATAATTTTCGCTTTAATTTAGAGCATATAGTTGTGGTGTAAGACACCCAGACTGGTTTAAAATAAACAGTCGAGCAGGACAAGTACCAAATGTAGAAAATACACCAGGTCGCGGGTTTGAAGCAGCCTCTCCGCAGATTTTGCGGGGGGAAGGCTTAGCCTCGGTTTTCCCTTCCCTGCACCCCACTCATGTGGGAGCCTCCGCACTTTGGGTCTGCCCTTTTAAACCTAGACCATCAAACCTTCCTTTGGTAGCAAATAAGAACCAGCTCCCTGATAGGCCACAGTTCCTATGGCCAAGTTGCCAAAAAGGTTTTGAGTAAATTAAATCACTATACTAAACAATAACTTTTGCTGTACAGAGTTTGTGTGGTAGCTAGCTGTTAAACATAAATGTGATTAATTTCCAAAAGACCCAATTTGTGGACTTGCGAAAGAGAGGTCTACCAGGTTAGGTACTAACAGAACTCTCGTGACTATGTCATTGGAATATTTATTTTAAACCATCCAAACAGTTCTGGAAAGTTAGTTCCTTGTGTCTAAAAAGCTTTGATCTAAACTGAGACGGTTAGAGCGCTCGAGTAGCACCCCTCAGGTTCTGGGTTCGACTCCCCGTGGGAGCGAATTTCAGGCTGAGGGTTAAAAAAAATCCCCTCGTCTGCCCCACGGCCAATGCACAGGTCAAAAAGGCCTGGCCCAGTTCTCACAAGGCAATGGTGCCTGTGTCAGGGTGGGGCAGGGGTTCAGGGGTTTTTCTCGGCCTGTGTGAGAAGGTCTTCTCTATCACAGCAATGCCCGGGGGGAGGTCTTACCCCCTGCAGGTCGAGTTTTTTTTAAGCACCAGTCCCCAGTGGAGCGCTGAGCTGACCACAAACGGGTCACTGGTCAGCTTTTGAACAAATGTTTTTTTTTTGTTAATACCAAATCTCGAAAGGCCAGCCTTAGGGTACAAGATGCTACAACTATGAATTAAAGGGAGCTTCTCCCTGCGAATTAAAAAGCAGCACACAGCAAATAGCGAATCTACATCTACCCATTACAAGTCAGCATAAAACAACTTATTGTGTTCTCATCAGAGATATTTCTCCAGCAGACGACAAAGCAAATCAACATTACCAATGTTTGTGACAGCTAATCTGAGTAATACATGTCAATAAAAGGGAAACTGAAATAACAAAAGTTGTTACCTGCTCCAAGCACCTCTTTGAGTTCCTATGCTCACCATCCATGTAATATGCATTTGCAAGATTAACCCAAACTGATGCAGCTCTAGGATCAGCCTTCACTGCTGCAAGTAAGCACTCTTTTGCAACAACTAAGGCTTCTTTCTGATGCAGGTAAGGGCCTGTGCTGACATTGCCCCCTGCCCCTGAATTTGTAACAAAGCACGAGGCAGGAGCCAAAAGCAATTACTACTCATAAAACCCCTGTGATTTTTAAATTTAATTTTTGGAGGAAGTGAGCCTAGCTCTACTGGTTAGGTGGGAGATGTGCTCATGCACCCAACCACCCAGGTTCAAGTCTTCTCAGCTTGAATTTGGGTGCCTATTTTCCTCTTAAATGAAAAAATGCCTAGTTTCTCCTAGGTTGGTCACATTTTTGGAGGGAAAACGCTTTCTGGACTTATTTTTAGTGGATATAAAGATTAAAGAACAAACAAATCAATTGATATAACGTGTCCAACAATAAGGTATGTGTTATCTAATTGTCTAGTGTCACTGTTTTGGCTAGAGCAAAACAGCATAGGGATAAACATCCCTTTATGATATGACAGGAAAATGGCAAGTACTAGAAGATTATGGCAAACAAGTGTTCATGTACCTGCAGACAAAGATCCATATCTACAGAGAAGAAGAACTGCATAGTTCACCAGAGCAGCCGGGTGGTTTTGATCTTTTAGAAGAAGTTCTTGAAAGCACTTTGCAGACAGCTCTAGATCCCCACTGAAAGTTGATAAATATTAAAGTCTGAAGGAAGACAATGACAACTGAAAATAGTATTTCGAACCTTTGAATGTATGCGACACCAAGATTATTAGGAGTCCAAGTAGTCTGGAGCAACAGCCGTGAGAGAAGATAGAACTGAGATAGCACTCTGGATAGGGTGCAAAAATCAACAAGTAGTTCTTTGCAGACACGGCTGCATGATCAATAGAGAGAAATGTAA